CGAGAGAGAGGATCGAGGATCTGGCGACATGACAAGCTACTCTAATCTGATTTTTACCGAATACCCATCGAATAAAAGAAGAAGACTTGATATGAAGTAGAACCTGTATTCTACTGTAGTGCCTCCACATATATTTCAGTTCTCTCACATCTAACTTGGTTAAGCCCTTTCGATTACATATATTTCAGTTCTCTCACATCTAACTTAGTTAAGCCCTTTCGATTAATTTATTTAACCAAGCCATTTGTAAAACAATAACTTATATGTACCATTGGCTTTTATTATTGTGTGGTTTGTATGCGCTGGTATGATTGAACATTGTTTACACTTGCGCGCATATTCATACTTTTCGCTTTAATGTTAATCTCTTAATATCCTCATGAACTCACATGATTTGTATCGCTTGCTTTTGATCTTGTCAATCATTCGTCGCTTTTATTCATGTGTGTGCATATCTATTTCGCTTGTCATATGTCTGTCTTATTCTTATCTGACTATATATTCTTAGTCGTACTCTATCTCTTGGAGTTGGCTCTTAGCCTTCTCCAATTCGCTTCTCTGCTATCCTTATTGTGGTGTGCCTCAAATAAACGTATACGATACTTGGAGTTCATCTTCTGATTTATAAACTGAGCTTAAGAACACGCAGTAAATCAGCACACTACACTACAAACATCCAGAAAGTACGAGATCCGAGTCTAGATCCCGGATCCCGGACTAAGGATTCGGGTCTGGGTCCGGGTCATAAAACGATACAAATAATGCGTATTTATACAGTTAGGTCGAATAGGAACCAACATTGAAGTATGTGACACTGACAGTTAGGACAACTAATATGAAACAACATTTGTAGTGACACTGGCAGTTAGGACGACCATCATATTGAGCAGTAGGAATTGACCAATAGAATTAGACTTCTAAAAATAAGTTTTCTTAGGATATTTGATGAATATCCAAACAATACGTCACTTTCTTTGATTGTATATTAATATCTTTTAGAAAAAACACAACATTAATCATCTTCAAACTTAAAATAGGGTTTGAATCTAGAAGCTACCTATTACGATACACTTACGTTCATGAATTTCTATTGAATACTTCCAACTAACTTATTTTGATGGCTCTCAGTCTATACAAATGGAACTGAGAAGTTGATTTTTTTTCATAACTTTATTCTAAATACAAATTTAGGAAACAAATATCAGATCTTCACACATTATATTCTTAATATATATGATGAAGTATTTTTGACAAAAAGTTTTAACGTGTATTTCCCAACCATCTTTTTCATTACATGAGTGAATAATTCTCAGACCACCATTAGAAAACTCCAAGCACTGGACTGCTGTTTCTTCCTAACATAGGACTCATCAGCAGTACGCATCCACGACTCCAGCTCCTCACAAGACTTCCCGTCTTGTGCACGAACGCTTGAATTATGGACCACTGACCTGAGTTCTATTTGTGTTAATGTCTAACTTTGATCAATACAAGGGCTTACTCAATCCCACCCATTGTCTTCATTGGGTAACTACCTGAATTTGACAGGGTTGATCTCCAATAGTCACGGCTTTTCACCAGAACTCCGAGAATTCCCTCATAAGACTAGTTCCTTGTGTTCAGATTTTATTATTTTTCATCATTATCAAGTTAGTTATTTCAGGGGTGGGGTCGCCAACCCACATCTCAACGCTGCTCCCTTCTCCGGGCTTCGGACCGGCAGTAACCCGAAATCGTCTACAGGCGTACTTGATTTTTCATCATAGAATTATGGAGATTGTTGTTTTACATTGAAATCATCAATCATTCTTTGTTAGACCATCATTAAAAACCATCCAGCCCGTTCATGTTACTAACAATCATTGATTTATGACTTCTTTGTAAAACCATCTTTTGCATTTTTGGGGTGGTTGTAGAGACTGTTGAATTACTTTGGAATTCTGAATCTATCAATATTGGATCTCTACTAGAAAGCTGTAAGCACAGGATAACCATTTCGTCCTGGTCCCGTGACTCATCACCAGTGCGCATCCACTACTTTTGCTACTTAGCGATCTAGAAGTTAAGAGTTCGTGCGCAAAACCTGAGGTCCTCGGTTCGAATCCTGGGAGTAGCAGAAGTTGTGCATGCGTACTGCTGATAAGTCACATACCAGGACGAAATGGTCATTCAGTACTTCCGGCTTTCTAATATTGATCTAACATTGATCAATTTATGATTTCAAAATAACGATAACATAGAAAATATCACATTATAACTTTACATCATTGATTCCGTTTTACAAATCTCAAAAGAAAAAAAACCAAGAACAACAAAATATTTCCCAAAATATGTGTATTCCACTGCATACACCATACCTATATATACTTAGCTAATTTGCTTAGTTATTCAGAAAATATATAGTTTTGTGTAGAGAACACAAAAGCAGGCAATTAAATTATACAATGAATTCACATTGTATGTATACAATAAAATATCAACTTTCTTGTTTTGTTTACATAAACTAAAACAAATAACAATAATAATAATAATAGTAATAATATAATTATAAATCTGTTCAAATGTCCAATGGTAAAAACAATAAAACTATTCCACAATGAAATTTTTTCCGTGTCTGAATACAGTTTAAATGTTTGTTCTCAACGAATCAATAAATAAACAAATTGAATTAACGCAAAAAAAGTTTTATTAATTTAAACAAACATAGCAGAACTATTGAATACAATGAACAGCAACAACAACAACCAAAGAACAAGTCGCTACGGTCAGTATGATTTATAATTTTTTTGTTTATTCATTAATTCTCTGAACAAACTGGATTACATTGAGTTAAGAAATGTCAGCCAACTTATTTTTCTTGGGGCAGAGTTTTGTGTTTTTTTACACATTTAAAATTATCAATCGATCATTGTTAGGCCACACCATTAGAAACCTGGAAGCACTGAAAGACGGGCGTTTCGTCCTGGTATGGGACTCATCAGCAGTGCGTATCCACGACGCTTGCACCTCACAGGATTCGAACCCGGGACCTTTGGTATTGTGCGCGAACGCCTAACCATCGGACCACTGCGTCGGCATCCAACGGTGTTAATGTCTAACTCTGATTGATCTACGGATTTTGCGCGACCTCACCCATTTGTCTTTGGTAGTTACTGCCTACAGGCGACAGGATTGAACTCCATTTGTCACGTCTTCTCAACTAGAACTACGAGAATTTCCTCACGAAGCTAGTCACCAGTGAGCACTGTTACGATATTTTGAGGCAGAGTTTTGGAGGTTTTGTGTTTTTTTACACATTTGAAATCAAGTCCATTGGTTAAGCGTTCGCGCACAATACCGAAGGTTCGAATCCTGTGACGTGCAGGAGTCTTGGATGCGCACTGCTGATGAGTCCCATACCAGAACGAAACGGCCGTTCAGTGCTTCCAGGTTTCTAATGGTGTGGTCTAACAATCATTGATTGATGATTTAAAATGTGTAAAAAGAGTTTTTTTCATTTTCTACTCATTTGGAATAGTATAAACATTCTAAATTCATGTAAAAAGGAAGCTAGTTTCAAGTGCATTTTATGGCGTTGAGCTTCATGATAGGATTTGAGCTTCTATGAAAAATGTACCTAAACATATGAGGTGGATAATGGTCACATTGTAGAAAAGGCTAGATCTTTTTGGCTGATCTATCGTATACGTCTCCATCATTTCCCAGTGGAGTCCTATCTCATCTCCTACGCATAACAGAAACCATAGGAATTTGTACATTCAACCCTAATTTATGTGTTCAGAAGAATTTCGTGACACTCATATCTCTTCCATGGCCACATATGACTTAACTAACGTTTAAACACTTTCCTAAACTTTATTTTCACATCCTGTGTTTGTTGATAATTTTCTGCCTCTTTTTTCCGTTTATATTCTTCACTATCTTCTAATTATGTACACACTTTTTATTACGTCATGGTCTTAATGTTTTGTAAAGAATTATTTTAAGTCTATTTATCCACAGTTTGACCTACAATTGATAAGAACATTTGTTATCGTATTTTATATTTTTCTTACTACTTTATCAGTACTCACTTGTGTCTTCCTACTGTTATCAACTTGTACTTTTACCTGTTATATGTAGTGACGTAATCTCCATTTCATTTCATTGTGATTATTGACTCAAATCGCCTTCATTGGTTTAACATATCAAACATAAATATTCATGTATATTAGAGAGTAAAACAGCCTGATGACGATCTAATCAAAAACAACAATATTGTTCGTTTATTATCTGTGTTGTTCTAAATATCAGTTAAAACAATGAAAAAAGATTTTAATCCTTTTTCTCAATATGTTGATAATTTTGTCCGAAAAGCAATTAGACTTTTATACATTTCTGGTTAGTTCTTCTGACTGTCGAAACAGTTTTGATTAATTGTTGAAAACATTTTACCTAATAAACTGTAAACTCATCCTATTCTCCCTAAGCCATAGGATTAGTGGTTAAAAATGCGCATTAAAAAGTCTAATATTACACTCTTCCTTTCTTGATCTTCCCCCATCTTCTGCTGCCAGACATTACGTTTACACTCGCGTCATATACTACTTATAAGTAGCGCGCACCACACGTTGATTGAACAAGGAAATTTCATAAGTTTTTTTTAAAATGCTCAATTATTACAGTGGTGTTTATATGAAAAAGTACATCCCTGAATGGAAGTAAAGATTTAAGTACACTCATTAGTATGTTGCCGTTGTGGTGGCCGTGGGCATAGTTCACTCAGTCAAACTGAAATAATTAGCGAGAGGTAAGTGCAAACGACTTAACATGTGAAAATCAACCGAATTAAGTGGGATAACACAGTTTTGAACTGTCTTTTATGGTTCCAACAATCCTCGAATATATAAAAACTACTATGATACACAATTTCAGCGTAATATATCGATATTTTTGTTCACAAAATAATAACACTTTCTTTATATTTCTAAACATTTTAAATTGTACATTTTTGTCTTTAGGTTCAACGTGTCCTTCGTACAAGATGGAGTGTATTATGTTCAACTTTTAGAATGCAGTCGACAGAACGTATTAGACACAATCAATCATTGATCACTAATCCAATTTTATTATCAAATAATAATCATGATACAGAACGTCAATCACAATCTTAATACTGAAACATGAGAATGCAACTTGTACTTCAATGTTTCACAGTTGTTTTAAATCTGATTTGATTGTGTATTCTATCGCTCCAGCATTCTATGCAAGCATTCTATATACTGATAACAGTTTTTTAAAAAAAATGCAACTCTCTAGGTCAAACAGTTACATTCGTTCATATATATATTTTTTATTCAACATCTCATGATCACGAGGATGACGATGATTTCAACGGTAAAAACTGTTTAGGATTATAAAACTCCCTACGTTTCATTTTCTTCAAAAATCTCTTACTATATATACATACGCATATATCTGAACCTATTTTTCACTCCGTACAGAGGAATTCATTTTTGTCTTCAGAAACTAAAATACACTTTTCATTCTGACAGTGTTGTTATTGTTCCCAAAAACGAGATTGTTTATGCAGAGAACTTTCACTGTCAATCTGAACGACAACATCACCACTTTGCACATCATACAGAAATCAGCTGTATACAATTTTGAATAACACACAAAGTTCACTTCTAAATGAAGTGTAAAAGTAACTGACGATGTATTGTATTACCATCATTCTAATCATATATTTTGTCAATCTCTTTCTTGTTATAAATTTCTCAATCATGATTTAAAATATATTTCATTGAAACAGAATTACAGATTTAAACAAATATTTCTAACAACTATCAGTTAGATTTTGCTGAATGAAAATTCTTATCATATGAAAATATAACCACTTATCATGACGAATCATGATCTTATGAGAGACGGCATGAAATCCACTGAATACAGATTAAAATCCGAAGGAAATGAAATATATCATGTATGACAGAATTTATACAAGACATATAGTGTGGAGGAATCTATTTTGAGTGGTTAAATTTACTGTACACATGTTTTTATGGCCATCAATGCACCAAACTCAATCAGCTTTGAGTAATAAAAGCTTTCTATACAGTCTAAATTTTCTCATTCGATATAGGTTGGTTGGTGAAACGTTTACAACTGAACAGCAAATCACATAACAGTGTACAATACCTCAACTGTACACATTCTTGACAATATATGCAGTGTTAAACAAAATCTTCAACTGTCCTAATAAACATCACACAAATTAACAATACAAATAAGTGACATATGCAATAAAAATCTAAATAACATCAAATCGACTAACTTTTTAACATATAAATCACTACTAATTATGGTAAGCTGAAAAATTATTCATAATAATAATAAGCTAGAAACCATTGAAAAAACTGTTACACCTTCAATTTTAAATTCATCCATGACTATCGATTCGGTTGCACAGCTAGTACAGTTCATGATTTGTGTTTGAGTATTTCTGTTATACACAGACAGTATCATTCTCATGTAATTTTACCTGTGTACGTTTTCTTTTCTTTGAGTTTCTTCGCTGTTCATACTTAAAATAACTAACTTTCTATTCCTACATTTGTATTCGTTTGAAGAAACAAGCACAATCACTTTTTTTGTTTTGCAATACGTATATTTATTGAATTTTGTAAATAAATAAAAATTTTAATCACTGGAAAACGTGTTTACTGTTGTATAATTTTATGTAATGAATAAGATGAAGTGGTAGGCTGTCGGCAGTAGGTTTTGAATAGATCGATGAAATGTTTATGTACCTTGAAAGTCTTCAAATGGAAAGCATTACTTATTCATTAACGCCCGTTACCCTAAATAAAGCATGAGCCGCAGACCGGCATTCTCCAACCTACTCTATCCTAGTCCTTTCAAACTTGTCTGTCTCCAATACCGGGTGTAATGTGTTTTTTGGTCTTCCTCTTTTCCCTTATTCTTGAGGATTCCAGGTGAGGGCTTGTCTTGTGGAGCAGTTGGGTGCTTTCCTCAGTATGTGCCTTATCTACCTCTAGCGCTTCTTCCTGAGTTCTACATCTGCGGGAATCTATTTCGTTGTCTCCCATAGTAGGTCGTTGATGATGTCTGGCCAACGGATCCTCACTTTCTGACGACAAGAACTGATAATGCATACTTATATCTTTCGGATGGTGGTCTTCGTGGTTCTCCAAGTTTCCGCCCCATACAGTAGGACTGTCTTGACATTTGCGTTGGAAATTGTGACTTCAGTGTTGGTTGATAACTGTTTCGAGCTCCACACGTTCTTCACTTGTAGGACAGCTGACTTTGACTTACTAGTCCGTGTCTTCATATCTTGATCAGATTCACCTTGTTTATAAATTACGCTGCCCAGATATGTTAAGGTTTTTAAATCTCTCGAAGCCTCCCCATCAAATGTGATTTTGTTGGTACATCCAATGTTGTATCGGAGGTTCTTGCTTTTTCCATTGTGTACGTTTAGACCTACTGTTTCGAAACCTGCTGTTATACTGGCCATCTTTGCTCGCACTTTCACCGTGAAAGGCACATTGCAATCAGTCTAGTTTACTGCATAGTTGAGAAATAGCTGACTCAAAAAAAAGTCATTAAGTTTTCTCGATTAAATAGTTAGTTACGCGCTCATTAAATTTCCCAACCTTTTAGTACAAACAGGTACGAAGAGAAAATCAAGATGAATACTGTAGTGAATAAAAGCAGTAAAAAAACCCAGAATATACCTAAAGTAAAAGGATAATCAAAATGAAGTTTATATAGCGGTGTGTAAGTAGTTGACAGAACACCGCAAGTTCATCATGTTACATGGAACGTATTGCGAAGAATTCAAATATGTCATTACCGAGGATTGAATAAATATGACATTGATCAACACTCAGTGATTAACAACTGTAAAACTCTCATTTTTAAGAGTCAACCGATCGTTGAACAGGTCAACGGTAAAGTTTCAAACTCTGAAAGTGAATGGTGAGTGTTCAAGTCTTACAAGGGAAAATTTTGTTTCCTAAATATCTGAAGAGTGTCCTGATGACGTTTGTACGTCAGTGTACGACCTAGTTCTAGGGTTTTCTGTCAACTACCTCCAAACATATAATATTTATACATAGTACACGTGACGTTGAATCCCTTGGGATAACAGCTAATTTGAAGTTAAGTCTACACTAAAGACTGGACAATTAAAATACTCGCTTCTTTTCAATGACCAAATATTCTTATAATTGTGAAAAACTTTAGTATTTTGATATGGCAACGATTAAGATAGAATGATGATCTCACTTAGTGGCTTGAACATACTGAATGTTTTTAAATCTTTCTCTTCATGAACTGCCTTTTCACAAGTTTCTAGGTAATGCTTTGAAATTAGCCTAACTTATCTTAGCGTGTTTATATTCTTGATCACAATGAATGACTTTACTTCAGTTTGAAAGTCAACGTTGAGGCGTAAGCTTATTCAAACAATAAGTCCCATTCATTTTAGGTTCTTCGACAATTCAAAATCCAAACGTTTAGTTAAAAATTTGAAGTTTTATTTCAACATAGTAGAAACTAAATCAGCCTTGACTATAAGCCCATCAATGTATTAGTTTACAAATGGCATACCTTTTTGTGAATAAGCAGAATTTAAATGAATTTTTTCCATATTTATTTCCTATGAACGATTTGTTTCGGATTTTATGATTAATTCTAACTTGGCTCAACTATGAATACCAAGTCAGATGTCTGATCACTAACTGCTCGATCCTACATTTTCGTATCCTCCATCAACTATTCAGTTTATTCATAAACGGCAATAATCCTTTATTTACAAAATATGAATATATATATGTATATATGTATATACATACAATAAGTAAGCATACACCCAAAATGTACTTGTTTATCTACAAAGATTAAATAGCTTTCTACATATTTTTTTATATGCAACAAACAGGTAGATAGGTAGGTAAGTAAGGCAAAGTGTGACGAAGCCGACAAAAGTGTATTTTTTCTTTTCACAGATTTGTTTATTTACTTAACTTTTGATTGTTTCTTTTTGTTTTTTCTAAAAAGAATCAATCACATGTTTCTTTCTTTTGAAGAAAACAAGTTTCCATTTCTCAATAATAAGTTTTTTTTTGTAAAAGGAGATATTTTTCGTTGTATAAACTGTCCAGTGTACACGCAAATTAAGATCATGAGAAAATATAATATATATATATATATATTGAATTTTATTAAAGTATGTAAATTTTATAATTCCTTCTTCCTACAATACTCCCATTTAGGACTGAACAGGTGATTCACCTTTTATTTTTTCTGCTGACCTATATATATTCCTGAAAAAATAAATAGACTAGAACTCTAGCCTTTCATTTGATACGTTATTTCATGCAGTTTTGTAAACTCAAAATGCTTTTGAAATTCACTTCAATATATTCATCTTAAAATTGATTTACCTAATGGAATTCATTCGACGTTTTGCACGTTCAGTGTTTTTATCAACACAGGAGGCTGGACGTCTTCCTGAGTACTATGTTGTCTTCATAATACACACTCTCCTCATGCAAAAGACATGACTCATTTGTAAAAAATGTGTCCTATTTTATCGGTTATCTTGTGGTGGCCGATTTCGACATGTTCTCAATGTTCGTGATTAGCTCGTCTAGACCATCGTTACTAACTAGCGTCCAACGGTTTATAAATCAAAAGGTGAACACAAATAGAACAGCAGACTACAAGCGCTATGAGATAAAGTTGTCATGCGAGAGCCAGAAAGCAGGCAAACAAGTGAATAGGCGGATGAACGAACGGATGAAGTGATGTGGAGAAGGCTGGTGAGCCAACTCCAAGAGATAAAGATAATGACTGGAAATTTATAGTCAGACGAAAATAAGACAGACATGTAACTAGCGAGATAGGCATGTACACATATGAATACAAGCGACGAATGATTGACAAGGTTTAAAGACAAGTGAGACAAGTCATGCGAGCTAAACATTGAATGACTGACTCACTACAATCTAAACAGATAGCAATTAACATTTTATGAACATCCTGACTGATTCATTTTAATTAGCCTAAAGACCTTGATAGTTTAAGTCGTACGTTTACTGCAACAGACCGTCTATTAAAATATATCAAATAACAAATACTATTTCTGTACACAATATGACCAGTGTTGATCCGGTAGAAGTGTGCTTCTGGAATAAGAGATTTGCTTCGTACGGAAATATTAGTTTAAAATGAAGAGTAGATCAAAATAATGCCTGGATTATTGATATTTCAGGATAAATATAAACAAAAATTCTCGCTACTACTGTCTTTTAAATTTTCAATAGACTTCTATAAAAAGTTGTGAATATGAATTATTGAAAATTGACAAAAAGGAATAGGGACAGCTTTGAAGTAGATATACTTATTAAAAGATCTTTTTTTCATAACCACTGACTCAATCATTTTGTTCGGCTTGTCACTTGATATGCTTGAAACTATTACGGGTTCACTTTAGTCGATAAACAAGAACGAGACAATGAACCTCTGTCTTGGTAGACTTCTCTGAACCGTTGCCCCAAAAGAACTGACGAAAAAGGTCTAGATATAGAGAAGAAAGTGTATTCTACAGACACCCAGCCAGCAAACAGAATGATCCCAAGCACATAAATCGCATTCATTCATACATCATAGAAACGTCCATGGGAGAGTGACAAAAAAAACACTAAAATAACACATCAACCAATCACAGCCAAGGATTTTCTGTGGCGGGAACTGTGATCTCAAGGTCATCTGATCAACCCACCAATAAAATCCAAATCTGATGCTTTTATCATGTGACTTCTCGGGATCTAAAGTCCCCAACACATTTACGTAACTAGCGAACTATTTGTGATGTAATGTGACTTAGGTAGAATTCTCAGAAGCCCACTGATTCATTTGTTCAGTCGGAAATATAATCCATATGTCTTGTCTTTGGTTTCATTCAAAGTTTTCAATCATTCTCGAAAACTTACCAATTTATTGTATTAAAAATCAATGGCTTCTCAAAAAAATGAAATAATTGTAGAAGAATAATGAATATCCATTTCAATTAATAATAATAAACTAAATTATATAACAATTAAAATTCAATTATATAAATTTACCCTGCATTGTTTAGGGCAATTTTAAATTGGTCTTCAGGAGAACCATAGAGACTGGACACGTTTTACCATTACTACATGAACAGTTCGGCTCAATCCTGTGGTGCAACCAACCACACAGGTACCTGATACCCTGGTGGACCATTCACACCGTTTCATATACACACAATGGTATATATATTTCTGATCAATGATCGTGTCAATCAACATGAACCGCATGAACCCATCCCGCGTACATGACTGTCAAACTCATTATTATTAGCAGTGTTGATATGTAATACAGCACCCCGATGACAATGGCCCTCGGGAATGTCGCAAAACAACCACCTATATCAATGAAATCGGTCACCCTGCTAACAAATTTTGTATATGGACTGTTAACAATGCTTACCAAAGCAATACCAAGCCATCCACAATATACACAGAGAACCTCTAGTCTCATAAGAGACCTTCAGCTCTATATAGCAGTATAACATATGGTGCACACATATATGGAGTAGGATAGTAGAAGAGTCAGCCCAACTTGATGCAAATAGGCCCAAACACTTCTATTACCCTTTATTTCATGTCGGGAAATGATTCTTTCGCGTTTTCGAAATTTTCATTTTTCTTGGCCAAATGAGACTTGAGTTAGAGAGTAGTATCCCTAATAAATTAAATTACTCGTATGAAATAATCTGGATTACATGTTCGTTGAATAATGAAAAACATAAACCAGTGAGTAATCCATTTTATAACGATTTTAAGTAGTGTTCAGGGGGTATAAACTCCTTGTAGATGATATATTTTACTCTGATTAAATAAATATAAACACTGGATAATTCACAAGACAATCAATCCACTAGGCTCAAGGTTAAATTTTTTTGAAAAAAAAGGATATTTGTTTTTTTTATAAAATTTGTTCAATAAAAAGGTGTATAAAATGAATCGTTGTACAATATAAATTTATTTCCTTACAGAGTTGTGAGGATTGTTAAGTTACATATTTGAAATCATGAACGCATTAAAGTTGGACCACTGTTAGAAACCTGGAAGCACTGGACGTTGGTCCATCCTGGTATGGGACACATCAGCAGTGCGTATCCACGAATCCTGCACCTTACAGGATTCGAACCCACGAACTTCGGTGACCAGTGAGGTGCAACCTATTGGGGTGTAGACAGTAACTACCGAAGACAATGTATGAGGTAGCCTAAAGCCGTGAATTGATCGAAGTCAGACATGGACACCGTTGGGTGCTGCCTCATGGTCCAGAGGTTAGATGTTCGCGCACAAGATCAAAGGTCTCGGGTTCGAACCCTGCGGTGTGCAGGAGTCGTGGATGCTCACTGCTACTGATGAGTCCCATACTAGGACGAAACGGCCGTCTTTACTCAATCACATTTAAATAGATTTTATTCCTGATTAAAATGAATGTCATCATTTGTAAATGCAAAATCTATTTTGTTTTCTGATTTTATTTTATAGTTATGTTTTGTGTTAGAAGAATTTAATAACAGTTCATAAATAAATAAAATAACAATTTTCAGTGGTTCACACAAAGTATCACTATTGATATCATCAACAGCCATCTATATTCTACGTAATACAGCGGAATCCTAACTCTATAGGTCAAGAAAATAGAATAGTGGGCAGCGTTGTAAGACGCTAAGTAACACCCTGTATATTGATGACCACAAGGTTATACTGTATCTATTGACTCTAGGAGTAGAGAAAAACCCGTTTGAAAGAACATGAATATATATTTTTTTCAGGTTTATGATGAATATATTTTAGAATAGATGGAAATATTTTAATCAGCAAAACATAATATTAAGAAAGTTGACTCAAGCATAGAAATCTAACAATCATCGAACCGAATGAGAAAGGAAGTATGCCGATGAGTATGGATATGTAAGGGAAAATCGTACAGATGGTACCAGTTGTTTAATTTTCTACAGCATGTATAATAGTCATGCATCCACCAGCTTCATAACTATTTTAAAAAAATTCATAGACCAAGGAAAATTTACTGAACTATGAAAATCCTCTTAAATTTCACCACATAAATATGTGAGCGAAATGAGCCATTTACAAATGATATTGTAGTGAACGATAACACAGGTGGGGCAACCGAATTATGTTTAACGAAATTACAGAGTTACTCAGTAAAATTGGAAAACCATATCGTAAATCGTTAATTTGCAAATCTTCAATCCGTTGTCTGACATTTATTTCACTATTCATGCGTTTCATACAAATTCCATTGTGTTTTATCTAACTCTTCCTTTCTTGATCTTCCCTCATCTTCTGCTGCCAGACATTACGTTGACACTCACGTCATATACTACTTGTAAGTAGCTCGCACCACAATATGACATCGATATAATTAATTCCTCATTATCACTATGTGAATAATTCATCGAAATTTTGTAAGGTAAAAAATACCATTCTATGAAAATATTCAAATCAGTTGAATAACTTCATGCTTTATTTATTGCTTCCTCTATTCAATCACTGTCATAATTTATTTTCGCAGTTTATTACTTACTGATTAAACCTTTGTGCTAAACATATATGTTCATGTCATTTATTATTTCAGTACTCTAATTCATAACTATGTAGATTATTACTTTGTTTACGAGATTTTTTAAGTCATCAGATGTGAACTGAATTCATTTATGCTGGGTTTGAGTTAAGTATTAAGTATGAACTGATTTTGGAAATACGATTAGCTGGATACTATGTGTTGGCTGAGAAACTTGAAAGTTCGAATTTTAATTTTTTCATGGTCCATGGAAAGCCACCTAAAAAGAAGAACTTCTGCCTAATACTTACAATTTTTTACACTATTCATTTGATTTTAGTCTTTCTATGCTGTTAAACTGTCGTTAAATAGGATAGCCTTTAAAAATATTTTTTTATGTTGCTATGCTATGAAAGAGACTGAGCCTTCACTCTGAACCAAATTATTAATGTTAGTGTGATCAGATATTTACAACTCTCTCATTACCAACAGTGATTTTCAATGATACTAAATATAAAATTAATTAAAGATACCTATTATATCTTACTATGAATTTTTTTCTGTTCACTGCTTTGCCTAGTTTAAGGATTTCATATAAGTCTTCAGTTGTTGGTTTCTTACGAAACAATCAAATGAATTATTTTTCACCTTCACTTTTGTTCTACTCATTATAGTTTAAGTAGTATAAAATCGAAAACTAAATTAGTTCACTTTATTTTACATGTGACAATATTTTGCAGGATCATTATATCACGCTGACAGTGTAATACGAGTAATATTTATCTGTAGAGTGTGTTAGGAGGTGAGTGAAGTAGCGTAATAATTTCTATCTCACATCATATTATTAAGCTTCTGAATAACCATTCCTAACAGGGATTATCCTTAAGCATGAACGTATTAAGTGAAAAAGAAGGAAACAGAATACAAAGAACGATTCAGTATATATATTTTATCGACTGAGTCTGAATACAGTAAAATCATATAAAATAATCAACAGAAGCCTTTTACTTATCATATAATAATGATAATAATAACAATCATAAATCATGCATTGACACTATTTTCGTAAATGTATTCACGATCCATTTTCCGGTTGATAACATTCTTTATGAAGCAGTTTAAATAAAGCATCTTTAAATGAATGTAAAGTGACTTGATCGTCGGTTGTCGGTGCTTTCGTACCCAATAATGCTTTGTCTAAACTGATTGCCATTTGCCAAACTTTGTCGAAATTTAAAGAAGCATTGAATAATGAACTTAAATTAGCTTCAGTAAATATATTCAATATCTGAAATCAGAGTAGAAAAAAAAATTAGATAAGTAAAAAGTTTGGAATTTGAAAATAAATTATTTCAAAATAGTGAACAGTGTCCTAACTAACTTTTTAATTGGGGACTAACTCATTTGGTGTGGAACAGGTATCACCAGGTATCACTAAAAAAGAGTTAGGAATAGAAACTGTTGAATGTTTGTTGCTTCACTGGTTTCAGGGTAGTACTCTAGTGGCTGGGTGTAAAGCCTCTGATTTTGATCTATTGGGGAGTCACAGGTGTATAATATGGAAGAGTTGCAAGCTGTCACTGTCTCTCTCTGATTTACCAGCTAAAATCTATCTGTGATGTTGTGTTTGGTAATATTCAGTCAGTCAGTCAGTTGCAACGTAGAACTACGTACGTATGTACATAAGTTCATGTTGCCATATCACATGAGCACAGAGACGCAAATGTCAAATCAAATCCCATAGTGATAAAGATAGTAGAGGTATTTATTAATGGTAATGAAGAAGACTAGGGTTTGAAGATGTTATTCAAGAAGTATAATTCAGTGAGATAGGGTTAGAAAGACAAAGGTATAGGTGCTGACGAATCCAGAAGATTAGGATTTGAGAGAGCTCAACGCATGGATGCACTTGCCCCATTGCAAACGATTTTGAGCCATGTCATTCAAGGTCTCTAACCATTGGTGACCTTCGTCTTGCGGACCCCAACCAGGTAGGTTTAGTAATATTAGACAACATCAAATGTCTACTAGTAATAGTAGTATTTTATTGGTTTCCAGATTTCACGATAAACAATGTCAACTCTAACGTTTTACTGACAAAAAAGCTGCCTTGAAAAAAGACAACGTCTACATCAGTAGTTTTTTCACAATGGACTTTAACTACGAATCGATATGAGTCAAATCATTTTACTAGTCACTACATCTCTCATGATAAATGATAGGCATACGACATAAAAAGGCAAACTTGAATATAAAATGTTGAATATGCCATGTAAATAATCTTAGGATTTGTACAGCAACTCACTAACACTTGACTGTGTATACGTTTAGTTTTGTTAAGCGCTTTACTCAACTTATACATCACACAATATTGTTCAGCCAACAAAAATGTGTCCATATCTTTGTATCATGTGTGCATAAGCATGTATGATTGATATCGTGTTTATAGATTGTACACATTCCTCTTTACTAACTTAATTGTTAGTTGCCTAAATCAGTTTTTTTTTAATGTGCGTCCACTTCTTAAAAACCATTCATTCGTTCAACCGTATTCATTCTTCACATTCATTTGTGATCATATGCCTATTCATATTTTACTTTGTGTACGTGTTGTAACTTTGTAATCTGATCTTAATGATAATAAACTCTATTCCACCCTTTATATTGTCTACTGAAATTTTTACAATTTTGTAAGTTATCTAACAATGATTATTAGGACAGTTATACATGGGGCGTATATGTGTGCATTTCTTAGCACAACTTCAATTTAATCAAGAATTGTTTATAGTTAAATAAGCTAGGATTCAAATGAACCATTGAAAAATATCACTCTTAAAGATATTCTTCATCAGTCGGTAATATCAAATGAGAACTTCATGACAACCAAGATGTAATGGACAGGTAACTCCGCCAGTAGAACCTTAGGGGCAACTGCCGGTCCCAAGCACGGATAAAGGAGGAGGGTTGGACATGGGGTTGGAGACCCCATTCCGTTGAAATCTCACTTGCCAAAAAAACGCTAACCAGAAAAAATAATTCAAACCATTTTAACTCTGCCCTAGGAGTTGCAAGAAGAATTATGACGTCGCGTGATGAAAGCCGAGTTCCCTCGGAAGTCACGGGGCCGATGCCTCTTCTGACAACCACAGCAACCATTCTTTTAGGTACATGGAACGTTTGAACATTGTGGGAGACTGGAAAACTATTTCAAGTTGCGGCAGAAATGAAAAGATACAACCTTGAGGGGCTCAGCATCAGTGAAACACATTGGACACAAGTAGGACAACTGAGACTAGCTTCAGGGGAACTGCTGTTATACTCTGGTCATGAAGAGGAAAACGCTTCACATACACAAGGAGTTGCACTGATGCTGTCTAAACAAGCACAAAAGGCGCTGATAGGATGGAAATCTCATGGACCCAGGATCATCAAAACATCCTTTAAAACAAGGAAAGAGGACATTACAATGAACGTCATCCAATGTTATGCACCTACTAATGACTAGAATGACGACGTCAAAGATCAATTCTACGAAAGGCTGCAGTCAGTCGTCGAAAAATGTTCACCAAAGGATTTGACGATTCTTATGGGAGACCTGAATGCCAAGGTTGGCATGGACAATACTGGATATGAAGACATCATGGGACGATATGGACTAGGAGAAAGGAACTGAAACGGTGAGGGATTCGCAAACCTATGTGCCTTCAGCAAACTGGTCATCGGCGGCACAATATTCCCGCACAAACGCATACACAAAGCTACATGGATTTCACCGGATCACACTACTCAAAACCGAATTGACCATATCTGTATCAACAAAACGTTCAGAAGGACCATAGAGGATGTGAGAACCAAGAGAGGAGCTGAGATAGCCTCAGATCACCATTTGTTAATCGCCAAAATGAAACTGAAACTAAAGAAGCACTGAACAAAGGGGCAGACAACATCACACAATTTTAATACGGCCTATCGTCGGTATACCGTAAAACTCAACGAATTCAAGATAGCCCTCACCAATATGTTCCAGGCCTTGCACGATATACTCAATGGAGAGGAAGCAACATTGGAGAACAATTGGAAAAGAATTAAGGAGGCAATCACTTCAACATGTCACGAAGTTCTGGGTCACAAGAAGTACCATCACAAGGAATGGATCTCTGTTGATACTCTTGCAAAAATTGAAGAAAGGAGGAACAAGTAGGCAGCAATCAATGTCAGCCGAACAAGATCATTATGTCACTGGTTCATTGTCTCATTCTCGTTTATCGACTAAAATGAACCCGTAATAGTTTCAAGGTTATCAAGTGACGAGCAAAGTATATTGATATATAATGAGGTGTAAGTAAACCTGATATAATCAGTTCTTAATTTTTTATAGATTCATTAATTAACACTAATCTATTTCAAACGATAATTAATAATTTATCCAAAAGTCAATTTTATTTTATTTTCTAATGACCTTACAGATAAATACTCACTCACGCTTGCATCATTCAATGTAATAATCACTATAGTAACCGATAGTTGATATACAAAAGATATTTCTTTAATATCTTAAGACTAAACTAGACAATTATTCATTATTGTAAAATGATAATTGATTTTATCAATTTACGTAACGTAAGAATTTTGTCTTAATTTTTTTTGTGATAAATAAATAAATGTATCAAAAAGGCAAAATGTCATTTTGTGACTAGACATGAAAACAAGTAAATAAGCTAATAGTTGTATTATGATAAAAAATTAACATAATATAACTATTACAAGTTCACCTCAGTCGATAAACGAGAACAAGACAATGAACCAGTTAGTTACACGATAGGCTACTCTGATCCGTCACTCCAAACTAACCGACGAAAAAAGTCTTGATATAGCTTAGAAAGTGTATTCTACAAACACCCAGCCAACACACAATGAATCCAAGCACTCAGATTGAGTTTATTTATACTCCACAGAGATGTCCTTGGGAGAGTCATAAAAATAGCACACTAAAATAACACAGTAACTAATCACAGCCAAGGATTTTCCTGGTAGGAAATGTGATCTCAATGTCAACTGATCAGCCCATGATTAAAATCCGAAATTAAGACATCTATCAAGTGAGTTCTGGGGATCTAACGTCCTCAATAATTTCATTTGATGATTAACAGGGATATAAATACTAAATGTACACATTTGAGACTATTTACGATTGCCTATACGGCCATTTGGATTGAATCAACAAAACTTGAATGCAATGAATAACAGACGGTTTAAATATCAGTATCACTATGTCAAACAGTTTATAAAATCTGAAAAAATGGTTGAGATGAACAGAAACCATTATATTGTAATATATATATAGATATATAACTCCGCGTGAAGCCATTCTGTGGTTAGTGCTGGTATTAAACCGGATGTAGGAGTAGGGTTTGGCATGGAGATAGCGACCCTATCCCGTAGAAGTGCAACTCGGTAAGAAACCGCTAACCAGGAAAAATAATTCACTGGTCGGCGGTTTATGTAGGCGAACAATTTAATAATCAAACCAAATCTTATTCGAATACACTGTGCATGCATAAACTGTTACTCATCATGAAAATGAAGTCTAGAAAAACTTTATTTTTTTTTTACATGACTACTGACTGATATCGATTCCTTTAGGACAGTATTTAAACCTTTCTAGCAAATTCTAACCAATGCAAAATCTAAAGCTTCCTGTTTTTAATCAGCGAACATTAGTGGAAATCACAATCTAATAATAAACGTTAAACAAGGTATATTTTCGGGCAGAGTTTTGGAGGTTTTGTGTTTTTACACATTTGAAATCATCAATCAATCATAGTTAGACCACACCATTAGAAACCTGGAAGCACTGGACGGCCGTATCGTCCTGGTATGGGATTCATCAGCAGTGCGCATCCAATAAGAGTTAGACATTCATACCGTTAGGTGCCGGCCCAGTGGTCCGATGGTTAGGCGTTCGCACATAATACCGAAGGTCCCGGGTTCGAATCCTGCGAGGTGCAGGAGTCGTGGATGCGCACTGCTGATGAATCCCATACCAGGACGAAACGGCCTTCCAGTACTTCCAGGTTTTTAACAATGACTGATCGGTGATTTCAAATGCGTAAAACACAAAACCTCCAAAACTCTGCCCGAAAATAAGGTATTTTTTCCTTATCTGAAGAAACTCAAGTGATTGTGAGTTAACTCATTATTTCACAATCCAATTAAACAGTACCACTATTCAACCTTCAAATAAAATAATTTCCAGTTTCAATCTAAGTACCGAACCCTATGAATGATTACTGCTTTACATTACTAGTAATTTTAATTAAAAATGTTTCTTTAAATATTATCAAACAACATATGAAAAATGAACACTACTAACATCTTGTTTATTACGTAGAATTAATAGATCTCTACTATTTAATCCATAATCTGTGAATATATTCGGATTGATTATTGATCCAACACCTGCTTCATCTCCATAATTTACCCAATCAGTACTTCGACGAAACTAAGAAAATACACACACAGATAGGGAGAGAGATAGAGAGAGACAGGAACAAAGCAAAGATGATTTAATCGATTTTATATGTATTCAACAAATAAAATGGTGTATAGTTTCGGTTGTTGTTTTCAACAAGTCATAATTAGGATTCACTGGAGTGGTTAACAACAAAAACCTTTAATTGATTTGATGATATTTTTCATGTGTCACTATCAATCCGGATTGTGGTGCTATGAAAAACTAAGAAACAACTTTTTGATTTGCTATATGGAAAGCTTAGTAGTATATCTTATTCAATGTGTTTATTAACGGTGTTTCGTTCGAGTATGGTATATCTCAGTAGTGTGGACCCATGAACCACTCCGATGATAAGAACCAGGAACTTCTCCTCTCGTTACTACTTGTGGACAAGGATTCTCGAGTCACATCTGTCCTAGACTCTCATCTACAGCTGTTCCCACGTGTGATTTATGTTTTGAAGTCTACCTAAAATTTACAGTATGACAAACTCTTTGGTTTGACTATATTCATCGGCCTTGAAGATTCCAAGTCGGGACTTGCCTCATGACCTAGTTGGAGGAGTTCAGTAATGTGTTTCCTATCCACTACCAGCATTTTCTCCTAATTACTTACTCTGCTAGAAGATGGTGTGTTCTTTGCCACATTAAGTTATTGCTGATGGCACCTGACCAACGTATAATGGTGACCACTTGACCGGCAGACCCATTAGTTAGGGATAAAAATAATACAATTTTAACTTCAATCAATTTGCTATCATTCTGAAACCAATACAACCGATTAAAATTCGTTAACATCATTGACTAATTTTAAATGCAAAATTTATATTGAAAACAAATCTCATCGAATAAAATTCAAATAGTTCCAATGTTAAAAGTATTTACATTTTAATCGTTGATATCATTTCAGTATGCTTTTAACATTTGTTGTCTTTCTTTTTATGCCCAGCATTTAGTTTGGAATTTCGATAAACGTTCTAGTATTACTTAAGGTGATTTTGTTGTAAGTACAAAACACAGTAAAATATATAGAAGTGTATGAAGTCATGTCCTTTTAGATTTTTCGAAACCATGAATCGATCAATGTTAGACCAGCACCATTAGAAACCTGGAAGCATTGGACGGCCGTTTCGTCCTGATATGAGACTCCTCAGCAGTGCGCATCCACGACTCCTGCACCCCGCAGGATTCGAACCCAGGACCTTCAGTATTGTGCGCGAACGTCTAACCATCGGACTACTGATTTTTATCAATAATTAATTATTGTTGTATGTCAAACAATAGACTTTCTTTACTTTTCACTCTATTTATTGTTTTTTTCCTTAGTGTTGATCATATTTAGATGAACAGTTCGACTTTTGGCAGCGGGAAATCGAAAGGTTATGTAACTAGTTATAATAAATATTATCGACATTTACTTCATAAACTTGACACATCTTAATAGACGTCTTATTAAAAAGAAACTAAATACATGGCCCATTTAAGAATCAATACATACTTAGTTGTACTATGATTTAAATGCCATCATTTTAACTTTTAAATCACATTTAATTTAGTGAATTCTTCATCAACTTTTTTTTCTTACCTTAGGTACTAATTTATCGTATTGTATGCATTTTTCACCCAATCTTTCCCAATCAGTTGTATTAATTACACCATTTCTATTACCAGCATATGTAGAATTTGTTGTAGTCCAATAGTGAATATTCGCTTGAATAGCTCGTTGAAGACGTTTGCGTATCAAGTCACTATCTATTTACATTTTATTTTAAAAATAAAAAAATGAGTTGGTATTTCTTTGAATAAAGCGATACTACTGAAGAAAAACTGAGTGAGTGAATGACTAGATTTGAATGTCAACGCCAATACAGCCAGATGATGAGGCCTGAAAATGCTCAATGTTTCTAAATTTTACATCAAGTCACAATTTGAAATATATATATATATATATATATATATATATATATAGTAAAATTAAATTCTCAAATTAGTCAAATATTAAGTACGAGGGAATGATTAAACTTAGAGATATCATATTTCGGTGCTTTTTATTCGTAAGGTAGTATAGCGCTATCAATTGTAAGATCCATTTGTTGAAGGCTTTGTTTGTGAAAATCCCTCCATGTTGTATATATTTGTAATTTGTTCTTATTGAGATGCCTTCAGTTGTACATTTTCATTTTCATCTCATTTAAGATAGTACTGTTTGTATTGTATTATAGTTTCTATTTCTTCTGCCTATACTGAGTTTCTATGCTTCTTTCTGAACTGCATTGTTGTTGTTTAAGCGGATACTTATTAGTCATGGTGACAGCCATATTGATTTGTTCCTCTATTGATTGGGTTGCTTGGCTAGACTGGAATCGTGCATTTCGATTGTGAATTGAAGCAGTCTTCCAGAATTGGAAACACTGTGTGTTATATAGTGACCAAATATAATCTTTTGAAGGAATCTGATCTATCCAGGAGGGTAGAATAACATTTATTTGTTGCTGTTGATTTGAATAATTGGACAACTGTTGGTGGAAAAACTGAGTAGTAATAATTGTTTATGTAATGATGCATATTTATATTTATTATGAATATTAGAACCGTCATTGACCCAATCACTTTGTTTTGGTTTCAACGGGGCAATAGCGTGTATTCAAACTACCTAGACAGTTATTCGTCAGTTCAAAGCTCAGTTTGGATCCTACACAATGAATACAGTCTTTTTTTTAAGTCTGTTGTGGAAAAAAGGTATTTTCATTCTTTACCTACGCAGGTATTTCTAAAACTCTATAAATCACATTAAAGACTTTCTTTGAGAGGAAATTTTCGATATTCTGTCATAACCAGTGGATTTTAACCATGTCTTTAGAGAGCGACAAAATCCATTTGTCACATAAACTAAAGTCATAAACTTTTACGACTTATTAATATAAAGGAATCGTATTCACTTTTAGATGCACACTACTAGAGAGTACCAAAAAAAGGGAAGGAACAACGATTGATTTCTTTAGAACAACACAGATAATAAGCGAACAATTATTGTTGTTTTCAATTAGATCGTCATCGGGCTTTACTCTAATATACATGAATACTGATATGAAAATGTTAAACCGATCAAGGCAATTTATGAGGCAATAATCACAATGCAATGAATTAGATTACGTCACTACAAGTTGATAGTAAGAAGACAGGTGAGTACTGATTGAGTAGTAAGAATAATAAAATACAATAACAAAAGTTTTCGTCAGTAGTTCAACATTGAAGATAGAAGGTCAAACGTGGATAAATAGACCTAAAATAATCATAACAAAACATTAAATCCATTACGTAATAAGAAGTGTGTATATAATTCGAAGATAGTGAAGAAAATAATTCCTTGTCCATTTTCATTATTTTCCTGAATTATATTAAAAATTATTTTCAACTTAACAGATCAATATTTGATCATGTCAATTCTTGACAGGAATTATTACTACAAGTTCGAGTAACGCACCTAAAGTAACATCATTTTCAGTTAACAAAATTAAGGTAAAATCCATTTTTACCATCATAGTAAGTTCAAAATAATTTTGATCAACATTTGTAATTACGGATAAACAGTAGTTTAACAACTTCATTTTTAAAGTTTCTCTGTCATCACACTTTCAAGAACAACAGTCAATGATCGTACAACTTGGTATTTAATCTTTATTTGATTTGATATTATTATATTTTATACTCAATCTTACACTAACCAACATTGTATATTTTGATAGGTGGTGGCTTATTGATCCGAACTCATAGTCAAGTCGCCATAGCCGATAATTTTACGAAGTTTCTCATCAAACCGTTGCGTTTAGAATTCTACACCTAAATGATGAATTACTTCCTTAGAAACTTTATAATCCTCTCCAAAAATTTCTGTAGTTAAATACTTGTCAAATACATAAATATAAGATATAGTGAAACAACTTTTCATAAAAATGAAATTCATCCCCATTAACACTGGAAATAGTGTTGAACACAATTTTCTTCATTGTGGCTGACTTAAATCAACATTATAACCTGGTGAGTTTACCATAGCAACAACATTATGATCTTTTACACTGAAATCCTGAATAAATCATTGTTAAACCATTATTAGAAACCTAGAAGCACTGGACGACCGTTTCGTTCTGGTATGGGATTTATCGGCAGTGTGCATCCACGACTCCTGCTAATCGCTTTCGCGTACAAGATCGAGTAGCAGGAGTCGTGGATGCTCACTGTTGATGAGTCCCACACTAGAACGAAACGGCTGTCCATTACTTCTTGGTTTCCAATGGTGGTCTAACAATGATCCATCCATGTTTTCATTATAAAACAAGGATCGCCAAATACCACTATGTGCTTTCTTAGTACAAGAATGCTCTTATTCGACAATGGACTTTTTAACCACCTATTCTTATTGGAAATTAGCTTATAAAATGCTACGTATGTTATGATGTTTACTAATGTTTTTGCATTTCCCCAAATTATCACTGTTCTTCCTCTATTCATACTTAGGGATTATTATCATTGACGTCTCGATACGTATTATTTGTTCGATTTATCTAGTTGTGTTAAATATGCTTTTGTGTTGGAAGTATTTTCCATCGCCATACTTTCTCCACCGACTTACATAAGTCACAAGGCTTATCCCGTAGAACAGTAATCCGAACGAAAGGAAATTATATAATGTCTACCACTTTTGAAAGAGGCGCAAGATATTTACCCAAGCTAACGAACGATTTACGATGTCAGATATTCCACTGTTCGAAAACCACTCAACATGATAAAAAAATATAGGTCATTTGTAAAATTGATTTTTACCATCTATCTCATTGTGATTGTAAGACCATGATACTCCACGTCCTTATGTAAAATCCATTGTTCAACCTGAAAACTATCAATAAACACAAGCTGTGTAATGAAGACGAAGTTTATTGAGGGGATCATGGATTCTTGTCGGTAAAAAGCAATATTTCAAACTGTGAAACAAAATTTTTCGGCCTATTATAACTACCATAAACAACTATATTTTGAGTGAAATACTTTTCGAATAACACCTACCCTCACAACATTCTGGTTTAATGACACTATCACTACTACTACTACTATTGTTATTGGTAATAGTAGTAGTAGTAACGTTAGAACTACATTTTTGCATAGATTTATCATGATTCCAATTTAATAATTCACTGAATTTACATAAATCCACAGCCCAATTAATCATATCATTCACAATATAATGATGTTTCTCATCATTTAAATCATTCTGTTCATTTTGTTTGATACATTGTTGAATATGTTTGATCATTTCATCTGATGCTGGTATTGTGATTAAATCAAACAAGTGTTCTGTTAATTCTTCATCCAATGGTACTTGAAAATGATAATAAATCCGACGTGCATCAAGCATTGAAACAAGATTTGACTAAAAGTTTTTTTAGAAAGAAATAAAAAATATATATATATATATACATCATTACTTGATTTTCAATACAAATGTCAAGACAGTTCTACTGTATGGAGCGGAAACTTGGAGAACTACCAAAGCCATCATACAGAAGACACAAGTGTTTATTAACAGTTGTCTACGCAAAATACTTCGGATTCGTTGGCCAGACACCATCAGCAACAACTTACTGTTGGAGAAAACAAACTAGATTACTTCAATGGAGGAGGAAATCACGAAGAAGCGTTGGAGTTGTGGATGGGACAAATACACTACGAAAAGCACCTAACTGCGTCACACGACAAGCCCTCACATGGAACCCTTAAGGCAAAAGGAAAAGAGGAAGGCCAAGGAATACATTACGCTGAGAAATAGAGAAAGATATGAGAGGAATGTACAAACATTGGACAGAACTGGAGAGGGAAGTCCAGGACAGAGTTGGATGGAGAAAACTGGTGGGCGGCCTATGCTCAATTGGGGGTAACAGGCGTAAGTAAGTAAGTAAGTAAGTACATCATTACTTCGGTACTAGACAGTTTTGCTCATGATGTTCAATGTTCATTACTACTGACTAGAAACAACGTACGTTCATAAATATAAAATCAAATGAGTATATTAAATTTTCTTCGGAAAATTTCAGTTTAAAACAGTGTGCTTTGTTTTAATTTACAACTTGTTCACTTGTAAATTTAATATCTTATTAGTGACAATGTTTATTTTTTCTCGAATTAACTACATTTTTAATTCAGTGAGATAAAATATTCTAGAGTTAGACATTAACACCGTTAGGTACCGGCTCAGTGGTCTAACGGTTGGGGCGCTCGTTCACAATACCGGAGGTCCTGGTTTCGAATCCTGCGGGGTGCAGGAGTCGTGGATGCGCACTGCTGATGAGTCCCACACCAGGCCGAAACGGCCGTCCAGTGCTTCCAGGTTTCTAATGGCGGTCTAACAATGATTGATTCATGGTTTCAAATAAAACTTAACAATCTTCACAACAACCCCGCAATGCAATTTCAGAACGGTTTTGAAGGGGTATTTTCTGATGTAAACTTCTATAAAAGATTGAATTTTTCTCTTATTCTAACAATGACACTCTGCAGAACAAAGTAAAGAAAAGTAGTGTACTGGTATTTGCAGTCTGCCGAAGTAATTTTCTGAAAAACATTATCTTTATGCTGTACAAATCTTTACAAAATTCTTTACTAGTTTTATCATATAGAGATGTTCAAATGAAGCTAAATTGGAAACATAATTATAATACAATTCCAGTTATGATAAGGAGCTTAAGTACTACGAAATTTTGACAGTATACCTATGCTGACTAACGCATCTAGACAGACAATTTCCACTTGAGTGAAATATGTTTAATTTGCCGCCATATAGACATTAATCTATATAAACTTGTTTTATTTGATTCTAAGTAATAGCTTTAAATCGATAAAAACATTGATTCAGTTGAAAAAAATAGATAAGCTCGATTAGCTTTTGCCATCCTGCGTCACTTATGGCGCAAGCGAGATATCGGCTTGCTAACCAAAGGACGACTGTACTGTGCAACAGTTCTCTCCGTCCTACTTTATGGTTGTGAAACATGGACGGTCAGAGTAGAAGATATTCGTAGGTTACTGGTTTTCGATCATAGGTGTCTTTGAAGCATTGCTCGTATATCATGGGACACCCGAGTGAGCAATGCTGTTATTAGGAAAGGGGTGTCAGATAAGGATGGCAGGTCAGTAGATGAAGTAATGAAACTTCATCAGTTGAGGTGGTTGGGACATGTGAAACGTATGGCTAACCACCGACTGCCTCGACGAGCTCTGTTTTGTAGTGTAGGTATAGGTTAGAAGAAAGTTAGTGGCGGTTAAACCAAAACATGTCACAAATCCATCAAGTCAGTGATGAGTGGACTTAGCCATGTCGGTAATTGTCGACTACCTGGTTGGGGTCCGCGAGATCATAATAATCGATGCTTAGAGACCCTGAGTGACGTGGCTCAAAACCGTTTGCAATGGCGCCGGTGCATTTATTCTTTGTGTTCTCTCAAATCCTAATCTTCTGGATTCTACAACACCTCTAGTTTTGACTTTCTAAACTTTTCTCACTGAATCATACTTCTTGAATAATATCTTCTAACCCTAACCTCTCCGATTACTTCTAATACCTTTACTACCTCTATTACTATTGGATTTGAATTGATAGTTGCGTCACCGTGCTAATGTGGTATGGCAACATGAACTGATTTACTTACGTACGAAGTTCTACGTTGCATCTGACTGAACAGAAATAATTTGATAGACCCAATCTACCTGCCAATGAGAAGGCTGATTACTATCTAAAAGGTTGGAAGTTTAACTATGTAAAATATGGCAATCAAACAGGATTCGCAAGCAGTGACAACACAATTATCAATAACATTCAGTAAAATTCCATCATAACAAAAAAATCTACTAGCCATTCATGGTGAAACTTCCGAAATTCCTATCGATGACATTGTTTAACAGTATATAACGAGACCTGCATGGTTAAGCCATTTAGTATAATATCACTAAGGTCCTTCATTTGGGCTAAAAGCTTCTTCCAGTCACACTATTCTAGCCAGTAATTTTTATAAATTCCAAATATTCATACGGTTATTTGTTATAAAGTTACAACAGAGAGTCCACAGTTACTTATTACGTCCTGCTGTTCAGATTTTCATGAAGATCTTCTTAGTTATCGAGTGAGTTTCGGCATAGATTTATACTAGTTTGAATATGTTGGGAACGTTAGATCTCCAGAACTCGCTTGATAAATGCCTTATTTTAGATTTCACGTTTGCGAGCCTGTGCTGATCGGTTGACCTTGAGATTTCAATTCCCACCATGAAAACCCTTGGCTGCAATTGGCTGCTGTGTATTTTAGTGTACTGATTTTGTGACTGTCCCAAGGGCGTTTCTATGATGTATAAATAAACGAGAGTTGGGTGCATGATTGCATTGTGCTTGTTGGGTGTTTGTAGAATATACTTTCTACACTATAGCAAGACATCTCTTTAGCCGTTTCGGATGAAGGTAGCCTACCTACTCGCTGGTTCATTGTCTCGTTGGACTCAAGTGAACTCCTAATAGTTTCAAGCATATCTAGTGACGAACATAACAGAATACCATTGAGAATTAGGGAGCATCATATAATTGCTTCATTCTACCACACGATTGCAGCAAGTATATTATCTTTAAACTACCAGAATAGAATCTAATAGTCTACCTCGTCAATTTCAGTCTGTCTGTAGTATATATAAGTGATCTTCCAGAACCATCTGTAATGATTATCTTACTCCCGTCATGACTTAACTCCACTGACCAATCTTTCAAGAATAAATTTAGAGACAAGTTCCAGATGTTAGTTATCTGCAATTTTCTATGGCACACCAGACGAAATCAATAAGTATTAAAGATCACACAGACATCTTCAGTATAACTTACTTTATCAGCTAATTGACAAAGAACAGCTATTATTTCTGGTCCATGTGTGTAATGTGCTTTTCTAAGAGCATGATGTATAACCACTTTCATTAATTTGAATCGATCACTATATCGTACATAGTTTTTCTTGCTCAACTCATCTTGATTGGAAGCACTATTGGTGTCATTGTGTAATCCAGTTAATTTTCTTGGTAATAAATCATGTAACAACTGACCAGCTGTTATATCATGACTTTTACCAGGTAATCCAAATACATGTCCATCTGGAACATTCATGATGGTATCATGTTTCCTATTTTAAACAATTAGAATATTTTTTGAGTAGAGTATATATAATTATTTTTGATAACTCACTTCGATATTACTGATACAAGTTAACAAATAAATATATAGTGAGCATTACTTTCATAATACTTGTTCTTCAAATATTTTGTGTTCGTTATATATACGAAAACTTGGATGAACCAAACCTCTTTTTTTTACGTGAAAATTAAACTTTTTTCAATTAGAGTTATGGAGATTAGTGTTTTTCTCACATTTGAAATCATTAGTTAATCATTGTTGTTGGATCACCATTGAAAACCTGGAAGCATTGGATGGCTGTTTTGTCCTGTTATGTGACTCATCAGTGGCAGTGCGCATCCACGACCACTGCAGGTCGCAGGATTCAGACCCGGGATCTTCAGTTTTATGCGTGAACGACCAATCTCTGGACCATTTTGTATTTATTCATCGTCATCATAATAGTCATAATGATTATCTCTGAGACAAACTTTGAGTTAACCATATGTACACCGTGAAAATCTGTAAATCCGGTCGATGTATGTCACCTTTAATACTATGTAATGTTACTGAAATTGGTAAATAAACTGAATTAGTCACTAGAGACTATCATTTTAAATACTCCTTGTTATCCAGTTAATATTCTAATAACTTTACAGTTGGTTTGAAAATAAATACGCCGAAGTGTATTCGATCATTTCACCCCCTACTCAGTATAATATTTCCAATAATTCGAAATAAGAAAGGTGAAACTTGTTTTCATAAATATACACGCCAGTTTTTTTTTATCTTGTCTTATAAATCGACTCATTCCGATCTTTATCGGTTATTATCCCTAAGGATCAAATTAGAAGGAAACTTGAGACAGCTGAACTTAGGTATAAGATCATCCTACAAATTCATGAACTGTTGAAGTGAAACATCTGAAAAAGTGTAGACTCTTTGATTCGGATACGATGATCACTGGTTAGGAACACTGAGTAAGATATTTCAAAGTCTATCACAGTGATACAGATAAATTCATCCGTACCTTCCCCCTCTAGGTCTTCGATTGCGGTAATGTTTCTATAGATTTTCCTACGTACCTTAGTAAGTTTCAATTCATCATATTCAACGATTTTTAACTAAAAAGACCATTTCAAGACAGACATTCAATAGGTTTGACGATTCTCACTCCATTTAAAAAAACTACTTATTACATTCAGAAAACATTCTACTAATAACTCTGTATAAATCAAAGTTATTCATGAAGTATGGTGAGAATGTTACTTTGTTAGACTCTCCAATCAAAAGTGATAAGAGTTGAACTGATTTCAAGTATATTCGTGCTTGAGTCAATCGCATCTTGATAGGCATAACTAAGTTTTATTTGAACTTATATCCAAAACAACTTATTCCACTCGAAATATGATGTATAATACACCTAGTCCTTAAATCAAAAGTATACTTAACTGTCCAAGAAATTTTTTCACCAGTTAAAATATAGAAGATTAAAAAATCTCGACAAAATCATGTGTTTTTATTCAAGCTCCCCAGTGCGTATCTTATCATATTTAAATATGTACAAGGACATTATTTATCTGGAAAACAAAATAATGAGTGTTTAATTCATGTATTGAGCAGTTTCTGCATAGTAAAGCTCAAAAATTCACTATTTCATTCATTCCTATTGTAGTGAACAAGAACACAGGTGGGGCAATCGAATTGTATTCAACGAAAATTACAGAGTTACTCAGTAGTAAAATAGGAAAAACCATATCGTAAATTGTTCATTTGCAAAATAACAGTTCATCATCATATCGAACTGGACTGTTCCTGTTGCAAAACATCAATCCATTGTCACTCACTATTCATGCGTTTCATACACAAATTCCATTGTGTTGCAACTCTTCCCTTCTTGATCTTCCCCCCATCTTCTGCTGCCAGACATTACGTTGACGCTCAGGTCATATACTACTTATAAGTAGCTCACACCACACTATGACATGTCTAGTTTAGCAGACATCATAAAAATCGTAAAATAGTTACATCACCTATATATTTATAAGCATACATTCACTTTGTAATTTCTTTACTATATCTATACATCATAAAGTAAATTTCTTATAGATATATACAAAATGATGACGTACTCTACATAGTAAAATGCTTCGAAAACTGAACTTACAGATCTTTAACTTTACCCGATACATCATCATTATCATTCAATATCCAATTCATTGCTTGACGTACAAGTATCCCTTGTCGATTTAAATTTGTCTGCATACCAAATACTTTTTTATCATCGAAACTTCGATAAGTCAATTATATTTCAATAAAAAAAATCAACATGATTTAGTAGAAATATAAATTAATTTTGAAATTAAAACAACTGAAACTGTTTGTGTATTTTCTATTTAAGCAACGAAATAAATTAAGGAACTGATAAAATTCTCAAAAATCAATAAATATTTTTAACAGTGTCGATTATACTGAATTTAAGATAAGTATTTTCTTCAAAATAACACTTGTTAACCTAACTCTGAGCATTTATTGTCCTGCGTGAGAGAAAAATATATCAATTCAGTGGTTAAAATTATCAGTGCCATGAGACTATGATTCCTTAAAATCACTGACATACTAAATATCTGAGTAATTGGCAATTCCATTATTAACAGATGAGGAAGCTAAAATCACTAATCATTCTCAGCTAGACCATCATTGAAAACTTGGGAGCACTGGACGACCGTTTAGTCCTAGTATGGGACTCCTCAGCAGTGCTTATATACTCGGAAGGAGACTCTCGGTCTCATGCGAGGACACTTAACCACTTGATAAGATAATTATAAATAAATATTTCTTACTTCAATTCATAATTTATGATCGTACAAATCGGTATCCTCTTCTGTATGTCCTTTGTGACATTTAAACCCAGGTGACCCAATTTAATAGTCTTTGACGCTATCGCCTCACTATTCGGACGAAAACTGAGTTCCTTCAAGACTGGGATGTTTACAATGAGTAACGACTGAATTTTTATCATACTTATATTTGTCAAGGACGTGATGATAATAGAATTTTACGGACCGAGACTGCATGCCGACTGTCCTTCATAAAAAAACTTAGATTTACGACTTCATGACGACTACCTTCAAGGAGCTAACATGAAATGAATCACTTCAACTATTAGTCACACTACAACTTGATAGGTAGAATTTGACTGGTACTAAAGAAATAGACAAGCATGACACTAGTCACTGTCCAATAATCACTCAGTATGAAATACCTCATATTTTATTTGATACCCATAATGATAAGGGTTCGATTAAGAAATAGTGTTTATTCTTCAAACTCATCAGAAATAAAATTATATGAAATTGCGTAATTTCACTAACTTTTTATAATTTCTATGCGCTTGTTCACCAGGAAATAAATGTTTATGTGAAATAAGATAATGTTCATGATTCTGCAATTCTTCATTGATGATGTCCATACGTTTTCTTGGTGGATTTATTAAATCACCTGCTTTATCTCCTGTACAAATGTACGAATGTATGATTAGGCGTTAATCAGTCAGCATAAAAAAAATAAAAAACAAATATTTCAGTGAAAATAATATGATGTTTAAAAAATTGTTGAACAATTGTAAGATTATTTTTATATGAAATAATTATCGACTGATAATGAATATTACTCAACGAACTGTGGGAGAGAACAAACTAGATTCCTTCAGTGGAGGAGGAAATCAGGAAGAAGAAGCGGTGGAATTGTGGATAGGACACATACACTACGAAAAGCACCGAACTGCGTCACAAGACAAGCCCTCACATGGAACCCTCAAGGTAAAAGGAAAAGAGGAAGGCCAAGGAACACATTGCGCGAAGAAATAGAGAAAGATATGAGAAGAATGAACAAAAATCGGAGAGAAGTGGAAAGGGAAGCGCAGGACAGAGTATGCTGAAGAATACTGGTCGGCTGCCTATGCTCCATTGGGGGTAACAGGCGTAAGTAAGTAAGTAAGCAAGTAAGTGAATATTACTGTTTGATGATTATAACTTGGCTATTTCTTTTTAGAATGATTATTACTCCTGTGATATTCTTATCCATATTATTTCATTTGAATATATTTCAATGAAATTTTTTCAATCTTATTCATTTTGTCTATCTATCTATAGTTATGATTATTATTATTATCGTTATATTCTAAAGCAGGTGGTCATTTCTTGAAGGTTACTACAAATTATGTGATGTATTTACGCTTAGAATACCCAGGCAGAGCCAAAAGCACCCAACTGCGTCACATGACAAGCCCTCACTTGGAACCCTCAAGGTCAAAGGAAAATAGGAAAGCCAAAGAACACATTACGCCGAAAAATAGAGAAATAAATGAGAAAAATGAACACAGATTGGGCAGAAATGGAAAGGGAAGCCCAGGGTAGAGTAGGATGGAGAATACTGGTCGTCTGCCTATGCTGCATTGTGGGGTAACAGGCGTAAGTAAGTAAGTAAATAAAGTTGTTTATCATATGTTAATCAGTTCATTTAAATATACAATTAAATTTTCAAACAGAAACTTTGCTTCCACGAAATAATTTATTCGACGTTGAAATGGAATAATGGACGCACTCATGTTAAAAAGGATTCTTGTTTCAACCACCATTTAGATAAGTAACTTTCAGAATTATGAAAATCCAAACGGTTGGTTGGCCTTCATTTGACACACTCCGTTTATATAGTCTCGGGTAGGGTAAAAATAACTGTCAAGCGCCGACTGATTTTTAATATTTTCACATCTGGTATTAATTTCTTACAACTCAAGATGCACATCAAACTTTTCACAAAACTATCTATCAACAGTTATTTATCAACAGTTATTTATAAACTTACGAAGTTTATTTCATCACAAAAAGTGATAGCTATTAATCAATTAGCAATATAATTTTATGACAAAATCAAACAGGTTGGCTAAAATAAGCGAAATTAAAACTACAGAACTGATCGACAAATGATGGCTTTAAACGGGACCTTCGATCTTGCGTACCAACGCCTAAACTATGGACCACTAGACCTTATCTGGGTTTCATAATTCATAATTCCAATTTATGAAGCAAATGTTGATGTTATATCCCCAAAACTCGCTTGTTAAACGCCTTATTTTGGATTTCACGTTTGCGAGCCTGTGCTGATCAGCTGACCTTGAGATTTCATTTCTCACCAGGAAAATCCATGGCTGTGATTGGCTGCTGTGTATTTTGGTGTGCTATTTTTTTACTGTCCCAAGGACGTTTCTGTGATGTATAAATAAACGAGAGTTGTATGCTTGATTGTACTGTGATTGCTGGGTGTTTGTAGAATATACTTTCTACGCTTACCAAGACTTCTGTTTTACAGTTTGGGATTCAAGGTAGCCTACCTGGACGCTGGTAAAAGTCTCGTTTTCGTTTATCGACTAAGTGACGAACCCAATAGCAAACAAAATCGGCAGCTGAAAATTTGATATGATACAATTTGTAGCATATTATGTTAAAGTAGAAGCTTGTGTCTAGTAGCATCACTACTTCTCTTGTCAGTTCTAATTTCTACTTTTTTGTTCCTCCTCTTGTAATACATCACTATTTATGAGGCATTTTTTCAAAGTATCGAAATTTAAAATTTCGGAATAATAAGACTTTTTCCTGTATATATCTAATCAAATACAAAACTTGGTCATCAGTTTAATGTCTCAAATGATTTTAACTAATCATTAACCGTGTTTCTTCCAACGCAGGCTACTTTATATTCAAACTTCTGTTATCATCAAAAAAATACATGGTACTATAGTAGTTTCTCCTATCTATCTCTAATATCAATATCTATCTCTAATGTCAATCCATGATGAAGATTCCGAGTTCTATCTAAATGGTAGAGAGCAGTAAAAATTTGAAGTCATAAAATAAAGCAAAATAATTTTTACACATTTGAAATTATCAATTAATCATTGTTAGACCACCATTAGGAACCTGGAAGCACTGGACGGCCGTTTCGTCCTGTAATGGGACTCATCAGCAGTGCACATCCACGACTCCTGCACCTAGCAGGATTCGAACCCTGAAACTTCGGTGTTGCGCGCGAATGCCAAACCTTTTTATTTTGATTTTCATCCATCGACCGAGTTTTTCAGATTTTCGTGGTGCACTCGCAGTTAACTCAATGCTTGTCTCTGAGATAATCATTATGACTATTATGATGATGATGAATAAATACAAAATGGTCCAGAGGTTGAGCGCTCGAGCACAACACCAAAAGTCCAGGGTTCGAATCCTGAGAGGTGCAGGTGTCGTGCATGCGTACTGCTCATGAATCCCATAACAGGACGAAACGGCCGTCCAGTGCATCCAGGTTTCTAATGGTGTGGTCTAACAATGATTGATTGATAATTTCAAATATGAGAAAAACACGTATCTGCATAACTCTAAGTGAAAATAATTTTTCAGTACTGTAATTACTCCAGCTAAGTTTTGTGTGTAACTAACATTATTTTCAAACTATTGTTTCAACTAAACCATTATTATTTTTCTATGTTTTACAATAACAGGATAATAGTGTTCGTTTAAGTTTACTGCTTGTTTCAAACTTCCCATACTTATAAAATGCATTCATGAAAGCAGAGAGTCAAAATCGGTTACGCATTAAGAATTCTTACTGATCTTGTGAATATTTTTTATATGAACGGATGACATCATTTGATAAACCACCAAAATGTACTAACAATTATAAGACTGCAATCCTATTTCATATTACTATTGTCAGTATCACATTATCATCAATGAAATGCTTTCTTTTATTTAATTGGTACGATTTGCAGTTTTTATACCAGGAGGATCGCTTACCGACCTGAAGATGCTGGCGAAATGCAGAGTCTTCTGACCACCCTAAGCAACAATGCAAGCATGTTCGGGATGTAGTTTTTACCCTCGAACTGCAAAATTTTGCTTCAGGATTGGGTTACATCGGTACCTGAACTAGTGATAGGGAGTAAAGTAGTCGAACGTGTTGACAGCTTCATTTATCTCGGGAGTCTCATCAGTGCTGATGGCCTGGTGACTGACGAAATTTCAGCACGGATACAGAAGGCTAAACTGTGTGTGGTTGGGACATGTGTTACGTATGCCTAACCACCGACTGCCTCGTCGAGCCTTGTTTTGTAGTGTAGGAATAGGTTGGAAGAAAGCTAGGGGCGGCCAGACCAAAACATGCCATAAATCCATGAAGTCATTGACGAGTGGACTTATCCATGTCGGTAATTGTCGACTACTTGGTTGGGGTCCGCGAGATGATAATAATCGATGGCTAGAGACCTTGAATGACATGGCTCAAAATCGTTCGCAATGGCGCCGGTGCATTTATTCTTTGTGTTCTCTCAAATCCTAATCTTCTGGATTCTTCAACACCTCTAGTTTTGTCTTGCTAAACTTATCTCACTGAATCATACTTCTTGAATAATATCTTCTAATCCTTACTGCTAATACCTTTACTAGCTCTACTACTATTGGATTTGAATCGACAGTTACGTCCCCGTGCTAATGCGGTATGGCAACATGAATTGAAACACTTGCGTACGACGTTCTATGTTGCAGCTGACTGACTGACTGACTGATTTACAGTTTTCACTTTCAGGCAAAAGAATAATCATTGAATTTCCTACTAGATTAAAAATTAGTTTAGAGTGATAATCCACTTGTTACTTGTTAAAACATAACTTTCTTATCAAACATACCAACTTTTGTGTATGATTTTTACAAAAATTTCAGATGGCATCAAATATTAGCAGTGAAGCAAGACGGAAAAACAACATTCATTGGATGTGAATAGATACCATTTATCATGTCAGTCAGTCAGTCAGTCCATTCTTTAACTGAATGAGTTAATAAACCGGTTTATAGTCTGTATTCCATATAGACCAAAATTGACACTAAGTTGGAATATTTCTTTTCAGTGTTTAACGTATCTGAACAATATGGATGTCATATATTTATTTACTTTCAATCAAGGTTTACAATAAGTATGTCTATTAAAATTTCCCACATTGAACTTACCTTTCTCAGTTTTTATGCCAAATGTTGTTTTATATTTATCTAAATGAGCTGGTATATGCTGTTGTATAGGTGAACAACCAAGTGGTCGTTTTCTAATTGATTCATATATTGATTCTTTAGCTCTGGTAATGATTTCACTTAATACAGTTGGTTCCGGTGGTCTTATTAGATCTTTCACTCCAATTCTGCAAAACAAAAACAGAATTTTTAGGATGAATAAATATAAATATCGAAAAATGTCTAAAATATTCACTAAAAACAACTGCTCTCCTCATCCAGTGATTATTATAAAAGTATTTACTACCATTTCATCCCTGCATGATGCTGTTTGTAGTAAAGATGTGATCAGCAAGCACAGATTTGGTTGGTAGATTTGTAAAAACTTGTATCGTATAATTATTATTAAATTAAATAAGGTGGATGTCGAAAATCAGAGAACATCATATATCTATTTTGTTATTCAGTGATTCACACTTACAATTTTACCGGTAAACGAACCGCATTCATTACCCTGTTATTTAGTAACTCATACTTCAAAGACTACTCATGGTTGATATAAATCTACCATTATTGACAATGAGTCTGGCAGATGTGAGATCTCAATCGACACACCGGTATGAAATATATTTACCAGCAGGGTTTGCTAGTAACTTTTAAAATTTGCCCTGTTAACATTTTGTTATTCTCCAGCTCATTAAAGCAGACTTGACTCTTCGTAAACAATAAAATGACTTGCACTCCAACCTTTTAACACAACACGCTGGTACAAACTTCTTTCAGGGTATTCACATAGTTATTAGATTACGTTTTTGCTACCTTTTTGACATTAAGTATGCACCATATGCCTAGTGGTTTTGCGCAAAATCTTTCACAACATGCAAAATGACAGCTTAATATTAGCTACAAATAAAATACTCAATTCGATCTTTGAAAACAAACTGGTGTTTAGTTTTCAGACTGTTTAAATCACCTTATCTGATTTGAAGTCGTATAAATGTCGATTTAATTAAAAAAAAACATAGAGAAAATAGTGAGTCTTAGATTCTTCTAAATTTTCAGTTTACAAAGAAATTTATAAACTTCGATAAACAGTCTGCTTACTTGTACACAAAACCATATGATTATTAGCAAGAACGATAATGAATACTCGTGGTAACCATAATAAAGTGGTATCATAGACGAAATATTAAATGACATTTGCTTATCACACCAATCTCACGTCATTAATTTTACCACATAGTAAGCAGCGCTACTAAACTAGATGTCTATCAATAGACTTAGTTTATGGAGAGATTTCATCATGATTGTACAATCTCTATTTACAACTTGATAATATGATGATACGTTTTATTCAAGACAACAAATATCACGATTAAAGTACCTAGATACTTTTAAAAGTAAAGTGTGATGAGTATTTACTCAATTTCTCATGAACTACAATGTAGAGATAAGCTTTAATTAATTACAAAAGGTCAAGGCTAATTTGGTGATAATCTAAACATTCCAGAGACTCAAATCAACCCAAAAGATGTGTAAGTGGTACACACATAAGCTTTATTGCCTCGATTTTTGTAAAAGGAATTAAACATACCTACCTTTAAACTGCCAAAATAATGAACGGAGATTTCAGCTTTCCGTTCAATGATATAAGTCTCTATAGGCTGATTATTAAGCTTAGAGTCTTGAACTATAGCTATTACTCCTATATTATAAAGCATAATGACCTAAAACCCTGATTTTGATACTGAAAGATACTAAAGGGCATTTGATTTACAATATCTTAAGAAGGTCAACAGAAAGGTAATCGTGTAGTTGAAAAATAACAAGAAGACAGTACAATACCGGTCTAAACCTCCATTTCTCTATTAATGGATCATAGATTATCCAACGAACTATCAATAGATTCCTAATCTACTATGTTCATCGGTTTTACTATATACTGACGATACCAAGATATGCAGTGGAATAAATAATAAAGGTGTCAGTCTACAGCTTCAAAATGAACTGCAGAAATTATGTGATTAATCATAATTTGTTAGCTGATGATAAGTGCTTCCAAGTTCATCGTGGTGCATATTGGCCACCAAGGTACAAATACATGCATGACAAATCGCACAGAATTGCATGTTGTCAACACACATAGTGATATGGGATTCATCACTCACCAAGACCTGAAGACTAATGTATGTTGCTATAGAATATCAACCGAAAGTTTTAGAACCCTGCGGGTAATTCTTGGAGCCTTTAGCCATGTCACTACTAAAAAGTGTTAGACTTTGAATAAAGTACTTTTTCGTTCTAAACTTTATAATATATATCGGAGGCCAGTCCTTGTCTATTAAGCGAAGGTGAAATGTTCGAAAAGATTCAAAGAGCTGTAATTAAATTGGTTTTCGGAATTATTAAAGCTCTATTTGAAGATGGAGACTAGTTAAATTAAATTAAACCAACCTCAACATGTGGTTGAAGCCGCACCTTTCTATGCATCTAAGATAAAAGTGAGTCAGCTAAGGGATAAACACTGTTAGGGCTAATACAGGACATCCAGCCTTGTGTCTTATCCCAAATGAAACTGATTGAAATTAATAGATTGTGAAAAACCGTAATATAACCTAAAGAACAAATAAAACAATGACCCCTTATATATGAGCATAAAGTTCAGCCTACAAACTTGCTACTCGTAATTTCCAGGGTTGCTAATTTTTATATTACAGCCATAATAGACCAACTTATAGTCTATTCATAAGTCATAGTTAGTATATTTGCAAAGATATATAGTTCTGACAGGAATATTGTGTTCCGCTCAGTTATAAACATCTTCTTATGAACTTTTATTTCTTTGCTTTTTATTCTTCTCTACATATGCTCCTTTTATATCTATTTACTTTATACATGTAATTCAAAATACGCTTATAAGAATAAAAACTAGTTCGGGTAAATAGTGCAAAGCCATATAACCGAACACGGACGTTCTGCCAATATAGATCCAGTCTTCGAGTGATTACCTTCGCCTAAATTTTGTGCTTTATAAACGTTCCTCTGCTAACCACTTCATCTTGAATAAATCTCGCATTTTTTAAATCATGATTAATAAAAAGGGCATGCAATAATCTGCGTTCCTCTACGAAAGAATCCCTTCACCTATTCGGTTGAGTAGTTGACATCCTATCTTATGATAAAATTCAGTGTCTCTATTCTTTTAGTACACTCCAAGTAGCCTTTCATTCTAAACTTAAAGGAGGAAAACATTGAAACTGAGTAATATCCAATATCCAATATCTTTTTCACCAGCTAGTGTAAACCAATTTGATTTCTTCGCGCTCGATTCTTGTTCTTTCGGTACGGTTCCAGGTGTTCGGTAATGTCCAATGGATGGAGGTCTAGCCACTCAACTGTCTGATTCTAGTCAGTTGGCAGTTGGTTGTGAGTTTGTATGTCTCGGGATTTGAATGAAACGTTTGTTTCAGGGCAGTAGAGTTTCTGGATACTAGCAGCCGTCACATTACCAAACCGGAGATCAGTTAGTTGCAATGTGGAGAGTAATAAGGGTAATAAGGGTAAATTAAAATGATAATATGAGTAAAATTTCAGAACTGAGTAATATATAGAACTATTGAAAAGAAGAACAGGTTCTCAGTAGTTCAAAAGACCGTCAAAAAGAACCTCCTGTACTCAACTGAGCGTTCTTTTGCAGCATTTGGATCTCAAGAAGTCGTTTCCACGATATATAATATATGGTTTAAAAATGGTTGCTAAAGTATTAGAGTACCTGTTACTGATTCATTAAAACAAAACTCCGTACTCAATATTTTTCGACGAGTTAGTTTAAACCAATTGGTTTCTCTGCTTTCGAATTTTATTTTCTCCGTAATTTGAATCACTGAAATTGTCTAGGTTGACAAAAGTTTCTGAATATCAGCAATTACCACATTCCCTGATTGGTGATTAATAATTTGCAGTATGGAGAACACAAAGAATTTAATTCTGAAGCTAATGAGAAGAGGAAAATCGGCAGTGAAGATTACGCACGGGGAAAAAATTTTCAGCAAAGAAGTGGAAAAGGATTTAATGAGCGAGCTAGAGATCGGAGGAAATGACAATAACAACAACGAGCAAATTGTTAAGTTGACCCATGCCATAAAAAGATGGGGTTCACATTACCTACATTCCTTAAATCCGTGTTGAGCTTCATGGAGGGTGTTCTTATTATCTATGTATTCCCTACTCAACAGTCCTTCCATTACCTTCGATATTGTTTGTAGCATCTTTCCTATCTCTTCCCTTTGAGTTTGGAGAGAGAGCAGCCTGTTTCCATTCAGGTAAAAGCTGATGTAACCACAATAGAAAGGCGACATATCGGTGAAATGTTAGCTTCTGTATACTGTTTCAAGACTGCAGTCACATCCTGGTGACTTTCCTGGGCACATGGAGTTGAGTTTACTTAGTACTAAATCAGGAGTATGTAAAATAATCTGTAGACCATTCGCTGGCACACGGTTTGAGCAGTACTCTAAAACGTTTAGGTACCAGGTGAACATTTTAGGTTATATACGCATATATGTTTGGGAATCACCGACTCACCTATTAGATGTCTATCCTTCTACTGCCTGAATAAAAATACTTATTCATAATTCAGAAAATCAGAGTTCGCTCACTAGCCTTCTCCAATTCGCTTCCCTTTGCCCGCACTCTTTTTGTTCTCATGTCTTTCTACTTCGACGAATACAAGAAATAAATTCAATCGCAAAACAATATTTGGCTTCCCATCATCGTGATCGCACAAGAAAGGTTTGCTTAAGTATAACATACGCAAGTAGAAAGGAAGATTTATCTCATCGCATACTCGAACGTTCGTCAAAACTGGAGTCAAGTGACAGACCACTAAATTTGTGAGCCAGAAGTGTAGGTGGATTTTCGATATCTTTCTATACTTCGTATGCCGCTGTCCTGATGACCGTTACCACAGAACGCGGGTCCTCACCATAATTTCTTTATTATTCTAAAGTATATGATGAATGATATATACATTCGATATTGTTATCGAATTATTTAAACACTTAGTCGATAAAGTTCGTCGAATGACCATGTGCGTGGGTGGTAAGCGATGCTCAAGCAACATAAGTACACAAACTCAACAATGATAAAAGTGCAAAATTTATGCGAGGTGCTGCAACTGGATTAGCTGGTCGGTCAAGTTAGTTGTAAAGTTCTCAGACATCTCCAGGCTGGTAAGGTCTTCATTATCTGGCCTTTTGAAGGTACAGACGCCCTACCTTGTAGGTTTTTTGTAATCACGAAACTAAGCAGATATTTTAGTTTACCCATATAGTGAAAATGCTTTAAATGGCTGTAGGTAAACTGGGAGAAACTTTCGCTTAACGAGTTATCGTACCTATTAACAGCAGATCACTAGTGCCTCCAGGTATAAACCTAGGTACATCTAACAAGTAGAAGAGAAATAATAGTCATACAAAACGAGACACTCTCCTGAGTCCTTAAGGATATGCCACGTTTCTTCCTAAAACACTAATGAGTAGTCGGTCGCACTATCCCTACTGTTAGCAAACACCAGAAGTCGACCACTGGCAGAAAGTAGTTGTGCCCAGAGTCCACTCTACCATATTGGGTCTCCAGTTCAGGTCAATTCCTAGACACCTATACTCTAATGACTAAGCCACTATTCATGGGGTTCTTATTCGAGGCTTCGAGCAGTTTTCGTGACTCTCCGTTGGATACGTTCCATTGCGTTCTTGTCTTTTAGAAATAAGGGAGCAAACACTAAATTTCCAAATGACTCCGATCATAGCCGTTAAAGATTATGTGGTGCACACTTCAAAGTAACCAGTGCAGTTTGTTCGAAAGGCATATTTGTCAGTTAGCTTTGATTTCTAGGTTATTTTTTAACGGTAGAATCATCTAGACATATGCTACTTAAAACATATGCGTAGTCTACAGCATTTCTCAAGTGGACTCACTTACTCGTCAGTTTGTTAGAAGAAAGTGAGGTGTGTCCAACACATCATAACATTCATGAATTGAAGAAATGTTAAACAAACTACATTTGCGTTATTGTTTTAATCAAGCCAATTGTTCATTATATAATCGAGCTCAAAGAAATCAATTGTTAATGGACATATAAATATAAAGCAAACGATTGAAGCAAGTGGATAAAATCGTTGTTGTTCTCGCAGTAACACAAGTCTACTTGATAGTAATTAGTTATAATGGGACAGATAATTGTATTCCGTCTTTCCTATTAATATCGTACGGATTACTCTATATGTGAGAGCTTCAACTACTTGTCTTTCTCTGTATGAAATAGAGCCTATTTGGATGAATCCTGTGCCAGTAAAATCAGATGTATGACTAAATTCTGTCGAGATTATTTCTGCCGCTGAAGTGTTCTCTAACTTCTCAGGCCTTCTGAGGACTTGAGAGTGCAACTTGGGCAATCATCTATCTTGATGTTTCAGCCACATAGGTAGCCTTACAGTTACTACATTTGGTCTCATATACACAAGTTTTCGTTTCTTCTTTTATTGTTACTTGTTTAAATCTAAGAGACTTATCAGTTCTGAAGAATATGCTGATATTGTGATGATTTAAGATTCTTCTGATCTCATCAAAGTTCCTTTGCTACCGAGTAAAATTGTTTTTGTTTACATCTTTCCTTTTTCATAAATTCCCTGTTATATAATTATTGATTATCGAAGTATGATTTTTTGTAATTATAAACCGAAATGAACACTTCATTAACTCTCTGAAAATGTCTTAAGAATATCTAAATGATAAAACCCACCAGGTAAATGGAATACGCTGACAGTTGTTGCTGAACTGTTTTTAGTTAAAAACAAAATTGGTGAATGCTTGAAAATCAATGCATTTCCAAAGTCAAAATAATCTTGACAATATTGGAACTATAGATCCGCAAATTCCGATTCTAGCAAAATGGCAATTGTTAGACAATTCATAAGCACAGTTCAAAAACTTGTCACTAAACAAACTGACAAAGAAATTGAAATGAATATATTTTTATTGAATTTAATAAATAAACAGCTGAAAAGGAGAGCCTACAATAGAATCAATTGGTTGGGGGGGGGGGAATCCTGGTTGGCGGCCCATGCATGCTCCATGAGAAACCACAAGCGTAAGTAAGTTGTTGGTAAGCAATCTTGAGCATATATGCTGTTGTGCGGAAAAATATCTACGAACTGTTACACTTGCAACTGGCAAAATATTACATTCATCATCCATCAGCATCAACAAATGTACTGGAATTTGTAGTGGACTTCTTTTTTTCTCTGATTGATTTCAGCAGTTCTTAAATACTTCTCTCCGTGAATATGTGAGTGAGAATATTTATTTTGCTGTGATGTATCAAAGTGTAATTAGTAAATCTGTTTGAAAATCTCATATACACCACCAATTAAATGGAGACAACAAACTGACAATAATAGCTTAAACAAAACAAAACAAAATTTGTTTCGAAGAACAATTATTTTCCGCAAAATAAAATATGAATCTAGAAAAGGTGAAATTAAAAATGGAACAAAGATGCAGTAAACAACTTTGACTTTCAAAATTTAAGGCGCCTTTTGAATAAAATAGTGATAATAGTGATGATGATGATTGATAAGATGAATTTTAGGTGCTCTGACTAAATACGATCCTACTAACAAAGTAATAAAACAATAAATAACTAGAATATATATATATATAAGACAAGAACAAGCCTTTTAGAAATTAAAATCACTTCACTAAAATTTAAATTAAACAATATTTCGCTAATATATGTCTATATATATATGCATATCATTTAAAGAAATTATCTAGTGTTCAATTAATAAAAATGCTCTTTACTAGTTCTCTCGAAAAATATAAACTACAGTTTTTTTTAATCGTTTGTTTGTTTGTTTAAATAATCGCATCTGTCTAAGCAAAAAAAACAAGAAATAATGAACAAGAATAGTTAGTAGTAGACAGACAACACTATTTGTCATGTAATATTTCCTGTTCTGCTTGCTTTCTTTGTTCAATGGGCTACTGTTAATGGTTCATTTTGCATTGTCATTGGATGTTGTTGACCATTAGTTGGTATTGAAGCATTGGATGATAGTCTACGATAAATTTGATGTCCTTTATCACTCTGTTTGTTTTATTGTATTAGGATAAATGTAAAAAAAAAGGGGGAAGAAAAAGTACGAGTGGGATAGATCAATTAAACTGACTATATAATGGCTATAAATAAGCAAACAATTATGATTTTTATGAAAAATATGAATGGTAATAAGGAAACTGGTTATTGATTGAATTGACTGAATATTTATTTACATACAACTCTATGGAGTATAATTTTATCTGTGATAATCAGGAGTGCTTTTGTGGTGCAAACTACTTATAAGTAGTATATGACGTGAGTGTCAACGTAATGTTTGGCAGCAGAAGATGGGGGAAGATCAAGAAAGGAAGAGTTAGAAGAACACAATGGAATTTGTATGAAACGCATGAATAGTGAGTGACAATGGATTGATGTTTTGCAACTGGAACAGTCCAGTTCGATATGATGATGGACTGATATTTTGCAAATTAACGATTTACAATATGGTTTTCCAATTTTACTGAGTAACTCTGTAATTTTCGTTAAATACAATCCAGTTGCCCCACCTGTGTTCTCCTTCACAATACTTGTATTTGCTAAATCAACTAATAATGAGCGCAGAAATGTTCAGTTCGTACTCTAGTACGCATCAGTACAGAGTTCAGACGAACTAGATGATCAAAAAAATGAAAGCGCAGTACACTGCTACATTCAAAGACGTCTGTTTTATCGTTTTAATGTAAACTTTGATAATTCTGATGAATTTAAATCATTCAGTTTGATGTTCAATTCAATTGATTAATTATTTATAAGCTGAATTGATTTTGTGAACTTGTCATTACAAACTAATCGATATTCATCATTGCGCAGCTTGTGATACTTGTTTAATAATCATATTACCACTCTGGGTAAAAAAAGAGACTAAACACTTTTCATGCAATACTTATTAGTTCTACCAATCATTCTCTGAACATATATATATATATAAAGCTGTTGTACATTCTCAGTGGGCGTACAATAGTTTATTGTAGATAATCATTGCTGACGATCAATAACGTAGAATAAAAACAGTTATACAATATAAATCCTCTGTTTTCACTGTTACTGTAGTGAAGGATAACACAGGTGAAGGCAACCAAATCGCATTTAACGAAAATTACAGAGTTACTCAGTAGTAAAATAGGAAAACCATATCGTAAACAGTTAATTTTGCACATCTTCAATCAATCATCAATCCATTGTCTGACATTTCACTACTCATGCGTTTCAAACAAATTCCATTGTGTTCTAACTCTTCCTTTCTTGATCTTCCCCCATCTTCTGCTGCCAGACATTACGTTTTTACTCGCATCATATACTACTTATGAGTAGCGCGCACCACATTACTTCATTGCTCCTACTCAGGTTGAATTGTAGTTGAAATATCATCTTCAAAATAAGCATGATTTAAACAAATTTAGTAGCAGTGTCTCTCTTTGACTTCTGCAGAAATCTGTTTGTTTTGATCGAGAACTTTATTAAGGGTTATTCATAAATCGAAAACATAATAAGTTTATATATATACTGAGGTCCTTATCAAATAAAAATTTTTTATTGGTCAATCAGGGCCTCCAGTTGGAATGGAATCGATCTGTAGAGTTTGTGTACTTTTAGATCAACTTTAATGCAATATTAATTATCAATAATAATGTCATGGTTTTCAACAAAAACAACAATCCGACAAGCAGGTAAACTTCATATCAATAATGTTTAATTAGCATATTTTAAGTGAATGTGAATAGGAGACAAGTCGACTAGACTAATTCAAAGTTCCAGTCAAAAGTACTTTTTTCAATAGAGAAATCCGATAATGTCAACGAGATACTGAATAGTTTAGTCACTCCAGTTCTATAATCCACAGTAGTACGTTACTTCAAGTCCACTCCATGAACGGAATCCGTGATCTCCGTAGAAAAGCTTCTGCTTTTCAATGGTAATTTAGTTGAAGTTCGTTCATAAGGGTGGGAGGTAGGGAATTAGAGGACTTTAAAGTCATTTTGTTCTCTGAGCAGTATGATTGAAGAATAATTATTTACTTCGAATTCTCAACATCGGCTACAAAAATTCTCCACCACTGATCCAAGTATTAATGAAAATAAACTTTCAGAGAACTAAATTATATGCAGTTGCAACAAATGGAAATAACCTTAAAGCTAAAATTTCACACAGAGGTAAATGGTGAACTTATCTGTCTTATTTGCTCATATTACGTGACACACTATAAAAAGTATCTTGATAAGTCCCTTATACTCTTATGTAGCTAGCTCAATTCAACTGTCAAATAACTTTAAGAACGGATTATGTTTCCTAATCTGAACTTCCATAAACTGATCGCAATCTTGATATGTTCGGCACTTAGGATGCTTGATGCTATTACGAGTTTACCTTAGTCGATAAACGCGAACGATACTTTTACCAGCTTCCAGGAAGGCTACCTTGAATCCAACGGTAAAACAGAAGTCTTGGTAAGCGTAGAAAGTATATTCTACAAACACCCAGCAATCCAGTACAATCAAGCATACAACTCTCGTTTATTTATACAACATAACAACGTCCTTGAGACAGTTAAGAAAATAGCATACTAAAATACACTGTGGCCAATCACAGCCATTGATTTTCCTGGTGGGAGTTGAAATCTCAAGGTCATTTGATCAGCCCCTGCTGGCGAAACGTGAAAACCAAAATACGGCATTATCAAGCGAATTTTGGGGATCTAACATCCCCAACACTCCTCCCCTTTTTAATAGCTTGTTCTCCTGGGGTCGACTTGCATCTTGACTATTGTTCGCCGCTGTCTGAGGGGATACCTTCGGGAACGAAGAACAGCTTGCTGCTGAGTTTCTTCTCGTGGCGGGGCTCTCGGTAGGTTGAAGGTATCAAGCAAGATGTCAAGGGGAAGGCTTTCTGCTCTTGATGGGCGATCTGGGGCTAGCCGTCTGCGTATCTGATTCCGATGACGTGACCATTTATCACCTCCTACCTCTACTTCGTACATAACTCGACCAACCCTTCTGACCACTCTCGCTTCTACCCAAGGACCATGGTTCGTTCTGTAGTCGCGGGCAAACACAGGGCATCCTACTTCGTAAGCGGATTGTCTTTGCTGCTTTGTCTTTACTGATGAGGGTGCATTAGTCGGATGCATCAGGCTGTGGATCGTTTTCAATCTTCTTCCCATCAGGATTTCAGCTGGGGACTTTTGCTCCGGTAACAATTCATTTGGTGTTGTCCGATAGACGTACAAGAAATTTTGTAACGTTTCGGCTGGCGTCCCCTCCCCTTTTGACTTGAGCAGTGCTCTTTTAAACGTATCCACAAACCTTTCCGCCTGCCCATTCGATTGCGGGTGGTATGATGGCGAGCGTAAGTGTTTAATAGCTAGCCGTTGACAGAAATTCTGGAATTGGGAAGAGGTGAATTGAGAGCCATTGTCGGATACGATCACATCTGGTATGCCATTTCGTGAGAAAATTTCAGTTAGGAGCTGTATAGTCTTAGTTGTAGTGGGCGGCATAACGGGGCTGATTTCCGGCCATTTAGAAAAGGCGTCGACGACAATTAAATACATAGTTCCATTTATTGGGCCAGCGAAGTCGACATGTATCCTGGACCAAGGATGCTCAGGTTTGGGCCATGAAACCGGCGGAATTTTGGCATTCATCTTTGCCGCCTGCTGACACCGGATGCATTTTTCAACCAACGCTGTGACATGTTGATCCATGTGCGGCCAGTATGCATAACTCCTGGCTATGGACTTCATTCGTTTAATCCCAGGATGACCAAGATGGAACTGTCTCAGCACTTTTGCACGAAGGGATTCTGGAACCACTACTCTTTCACCAAACATGAGACAATCGTTCACGATGCATAGTGAATCCCGCCGCTGATACAGTTGCTTGATGTCACCTTCAAACTTTTTCGACGGCCAACCTTTAGTGACATATTTCATCGTCATCTTGATGATGGGGTCGTTTCTAGAAGCATTTTGTATGTCTGTTGCAGACACCGGTAATGCGCGAACTGCGGTTGTCAGATAACATTCTGCGTGGTCTTCTACCGACAGAGATGCGATCACCATGTTTTCCTCAGCCGCCACTTGATCATTAATGAGTCGTGACAAAGCGTCTGCTTGACCGAATTGTAGAGTGCGTCGATATTGGATTTCGAAATCATACCCCAAAAGTACCAAGGCCCATCGCTGAAGACGATTTGCAGAATGGGCTGGAATGCCAGACTTTGAACCAAATATTGCTAACAGAGGCTTGTGATCTGTGAGGAGCGTGAATCTCCGACCGTACAGAAACTTATGGAAACGGCGAACAGCAAACACAAGGGCAAGAGCTTCTTTCTCTATCTGGCTATACTTCTTTTCTGCTGGGGTCAGTGTACGGGATGCATGCATAACGGCTTTTTCTGACGCGTCTGGAAACTGATGTGAAATAACAGCACCTAGGCCATATGCTGAAGCGTCTGCTGCTACGATGATCGGCATGGATGGATCGTAGTGTGTTAATAACAATTCCGAGCTAATTATAGACTTGAGTTTACCAAAAGCCGCGTCACACTCTTTAGTCCAGTTCCATGTGCTATGCTTCTGCAGTAGACAATTCAATGGAGCGCGAATATCATGCATCGAGGGAACAAAAGCTGAATAATAACTGATTAAACCGAGAAAAGATCGTAATTCGGAAACATTAGTGGGAGTGGGCATCAGTTTGATAGCTCGGATGTTTTCAGGATCCGGTCTGCGACCGTCGGCATCAAAGATGAATCCCAAATACTTTACCGACTGCAATAGAAACTGGCATTTTTCTGGGCGTAACCGGAAACCATTGTCACTGATGCGCTGTAGTACCAATGTCGTGCGTTCCCGTAGCTGTTCTAACGTCTTCGCAACAATCAAGATATCATCGAGATAAGCTGCAACCCCTGGGATATCTGACAGGATTGTATCCATTAGTTGTTGGAAGATAGACGGCGCAGTCTTAACTCCAAAAGGTAGACGGTTATATTGAAACAAACCGCGATGAGTGTTGATAGTAAGCAGCTCTTTAGATGCTTCATCGACTTCCACTTGCAAATAAGCATCAGCTAGGTCAAGCTTTGCGAAGAACTTTCCTCCATTCAGCATAGTGAACAGATCTGCTGGAACTGGCAGAGGATAATGATGCTGTTCTAGAGCTGCGTTGAGACCTGTAGAGAAGTCAGCACATATACGTATCGTTCCGTTGGCCTTCTTGATAACGACTATAGGTGCTGCCCAACTGGAGTAAGAAACGGGAGTAATAACTCCTTGTCGTTGAAGGCGATCCAGCTCTTCATCTACTGTTGCTAATGTAGCATACGGTACAGGTCTCTTTGGACGAAAAGCAGGCTTAGCCCCATGTTTCAACCGAAGTGTTGCTTTCATAGCAGTGCACCGACCTAATCCAGGTTCAAAAATGGTTGAAAACTCTGTCATCAGCTTCTTCGTATACGCTTCTGGGTCATGTCGTTGTGATACCAGGTTGCATATGGTATTTAGCGGGACATCAGCCAATTTTAGCTGGTCGAACCAATCTAAACCAAGTAAATTTAGATCAGCTGGCGTTATATAGCATACCCCAGTAAACGACGAATCCCGGAAAGCAACTTTACATTCCAATTGTCCTAACAGACGAAGATAATTACCACATGCTGTGCGAGGCTTTTGTGTTGTGTGCTGCAGGCTTGGGCTGCCCAACTTGGTCCAATTTTTGCGTGAGAGGATAGTGACATCAGATGCAGTATCTATTTGCATTCTACACAAATAACCGTTAATATTAAGAGTAATAAATTTCCTCTCACCTGGTGATGAACTTTGGCAGGAAGATATTAGGCTCAATGCATTGGTACTGGATCTAGGAACAGGCTTCTTAGCACTTCTGGATCGCTTTGGCTTTTTCTGTAGGCAAAAGCCATCTTTATGACCGATGACTTTACACTTCCTGCATCTATGCTGCCTAAATGGACAGTTCCGTACATAGGGCCATGAACCGCAGTGCCAGCAAGCAGAAGGTGGATTCATTTTGGGTTTTTGGGCCGAATTGGAGCGGGGTGAACCGGGTGTAGCATGGGCAGACTTATAATGATTAGGTGGCTGCTGTACCAAATGAATTTCAGATCGGCTTGAACTACCACTCTGAACTATAGTCGAGTCTCGTTGTAGGTCAGTGAGACGTTGGTACTCATGAGCCATATCATTAAGCGTAAGCTTTGGATCTTGCTCCAACCGACTTAGTAGCCTTGTTCTAATGTCACTGAACTTACTCGACTGGAGGCTGCAGATGAGAATGAGGGCTTTGAACTGGTCTTCCGACAAAGACTTCAACCGAAAGCGTTCGCATTCACGGTTGACGATGCCCACGTGCGTAAGAAAATCATCATCTTCGTTCATAATAAGCTTCAAACATCGATAACGAGTATTAAATAGTGACGAGTTGTCTCCAAAGTGTTGGCTTAAAGTCTGAACAGTCTCAGAAAACGAACAATCTCGTGGGTTCAAATTCATTTTTTTGCTTAACAGCTCCAACATACGTTCCTGCAACTGTTCATATCGTTTACCTTGACGTTCCAGTAAAGATTCTAACTGTTCAAGGTTAATTGACATTGTGAATTGTGAGCCCCGTCGCCACTGATATGTTTTGTGGATATGGTTTTTACCCCGTCGCCACTGATATGTTCGGCACTTAGGATGCTTGATGCTATTACGAGTTTACCTTAGTCGATAAACGCGAACGATACTTTTACCAGCTTCCAGGAAGGCTACCTTGAATCCAACGGTAAAACAGAAGTCTTGGTAAGCGTAGAAAGTATATTCTACAAACACCCAGCAATCCAGTACAATCAAGCATACAACTCTCGTTTATTTATACAACATAACAACGTCCTTGAGACAGTTAAGAAAATAGCATACTAAAATACACTGTGGCCAATCACAGCCATTGATTTTCCTGGTGGGAGTTGAAATCTCAAGGTCATTTGATCAGCCCCTGCTGGCGAAACGTGAAAACCAAAATACGGCATTATCAAGCGAATTTTGGGGATCTAACATCCCCAACAAATCTATTCTTACAGACTTTATGGACAATGTGTGTGTGAGTTCAGTGATTGTAGAAGATGGGTGATATAGTTGTCCTATTTTATTTCTTCTATCTCAACCATAATCTGTGTTCAGTCCTCCTGGCTATCATTCCTACAATATGATTTTGAATTGCTTGCTAGTCATCCTATCGAATTCATCACACTGTACTACTATGTACTACTGTGAAAACTGAGCCAATGTAAATTTCCGCATCGGTAAATTTCATTAGGTCATATCTACAGTGGACGGGTTCATGAGTGAGTCAGGTTTGCTAGGTGATTTTATTGGGAATCAAAATGATTCGCGATTGAGAGTAATCAATATCTCAAATTTATGCATGACAATAGTCAAAGTCAGCACTGTTATATGTTAAAATATCAGCTGATTTATTGTGATCTTGTTTTGAGAATTTTGCTTTGCGAATTCAAAGATCCCTCCAACAAGATGACCAAATATGTTCATTGATCAATAATAATTACTTGCGATAAAGAAAATTGAACAAACAAATACAAAAAACTACAAAAACAAGACGACAACGAGTAAAATTACCAGGATAAAAATAGACTAAAACATACCGTTGAAGTGTAAACATATTTGCTTCGACTAGTGTTAAGTAGACTAGCTGGACAAGGTTCCACATATTTCGGTGTAAACTCTGTACTATATAAAGTTGCACCATCGAAAGGTGCTAGATTATCTGTACGTTGATTAAGTGGTTTACAAGATTCCGGTGGTCGATAATTTAAATGTGGCACATAGTCCTCTCTTGTGGTACTTTTACTTGCAAATTTTCCAGTTGGAAGAGGATATCCTGATTCTCTGCCAAAACCGACTTCATGTCTCTCTAATTTCCATGGTCTGTAATCAGCTATTTAATTTGAAATATTAAAGAAATGAGGGATTATTTCAATTTGAAACGAACAAACAAACAAATATTGACATCTAGTTAACAATTTAAAATAATCAATCAGACTGTTTAGTGGGATTAAATGCGACTCAATAATCTACAAATGAATTTGATTGCTTTCCAACTGACATATCTACTACTCTTTAAATGGAAACTAACAGTCGGGATATACAAATCTTTGTAATGCCTAATAAATGTACATGTTTCACAAAGGTACTGATTATCTGGTAAAAAAAAGCCTGCTGGATATTATGAGTATGATGAAGTGGTACTTTCTTGGTTCACCTCATAGTAAAAACACAAACATTGTGTGCGTCGGCATTTTACAGACTCAGTTTCTACTCAATTGTCGTCACTGCTTACTTTCTCACTTCAAATCGATACTTCATTATTTCTCCATCGATCACGATCTTAAATCCACAGCTTTATTTTCATTTGTACCTGATTTCTGACGAATAACCTACAATGCTATATACAATTTTGTGATGATCATTTTAGTCTTTTGAGTTCTAACCATACTGAGCTATTATTCTGATTTCTTATCTTGTCGTGTTTTGTTTGATTCAGTTATTTACTAGTTCTTGCTTGTTACAATCTTCATGTGGAATATAAAACTTAATCAACCAATCAATCGATCATTCGATTCAATTGTACGAAGAAATAACAGAACTGTTGGGGGGGGGAGTTAGAGCCCAAGAGCTCGCTTAATAGAAGCTTATTTTGGATTTCACGTTTCCGATCATAGGCTGATCAGTTGACCTTGAGATTTCATTTCCCACCAGAAAAATCCTTGGCCTTGATTGGCTGCTGTGTATTTTAGTGTGCTGTTTTTGTGACTGTCCCAAGGATGTTTCTATGATGTGTAAATAAAAGAGATTTGTGTGCTTGACTGCATTGTGCTTGTTGGGTGTTTGTATAATATACTTTCTGCGCTACATCAAGACTTTTCATTAATCAGCAGATCAGGGTAGCCTAGGTGGACGCTGGTTCATTGTCTCGTTCGCGCTTATCGACTAAGGTGAACTCGAAATCGTTTCAAGCATACTTAGTGACGAACCTAACGAAAACAAATTAAACTTTGATATTCACACATAAAATATATTGTATCCAATCACTTTTCACTTACCGGTATAAGTGGCTTCACCTTCAAACTTGGCTGAGGGACCAGTTCTAACAGCTGGCTTAATTGCAACAGCCATCTGACCAGGTTGTCCTTGAATTAATTAAAACAAAACATATTCTTATTGCAGTGACTTTGTGATGAATAAATTAGGCTAAGGGGAATATTCGCATAAGCAAAGATTTGTGTCAGTGATAATGCAGTTAAAATAGAGAGGATTGGAGTTTTGACACTCACCAAAAAAATCACTGTGAATTCCACTGTTAGCTACAATCCATCTATTCTATGTACAAAGACACAAGTGGTTATATCGAATTTCGAATTTTGGTTTGTTTATCAATACTGGGATGTGAGTTGATCCAGATGATGAGTCCCGAATTGGTCGGTTGGTCTGACATGAGTTTCGTTTCTATTCGCAATCTAACTTTTTGCTCAAGTCTCAGATCTGTTTCAAGTAATTCTTACTAGATATTCATCGATAGCCAAGTTCTACTGTACGAGTGAGAATACCCTTCGTGATTATTTTGCATTTTTGGTTATCAATCATTCTTGAAAACACTTGTCCCACATTTCAACTAAGTTCTTTGTATGCGTCAGTGGATAGTTGAAATGCATTTATCTAATTTCTTATAGATCAGTGTTTAGAATTAAAATTCAATTAAGCCAGTTAGAACGTATTCCTGGAAAATTATAACTTCGATATCGTCTGAATATTCTCAACTACATAAACTGTTGCCTTTAACTAACTACCAGTTGTTGTCCTGTTTTAATGAACATACAAAATACCAAGTACATCGAATTTAATTGAGTGTAGACGTCTCACATTCATTCTCTTTAGTTAAGAAAAAGTGACATGGCTCAAAACCGCTTGCCTTGGCGCAGGTGCACCCACTCTTTGTGTTCTATGAAATTCTAACCTTCTGAATTACTCATCACCTATATCTTTCTCTTTCTAAATTTACCTTACTGAATTATACTTCTTGAATAACATCTTCGAACCTTAATCTCTCCGATTACTTCTAATACTTTTACTACCTCTACTACTACTATGGGATTTGAATTGACAATTATGTCTCTGTGCTAATGTAGTATTGGCAACTTGAATTGCTGTACTTACGTACAAAGTTCTACGTTGCTGTTGATGATGATGATGAGTAATCTATGGGAAACAGTTCTATCTACCTCGACAACTTCGAAGACAGTCAGTCAGTTGCAACATAGAACTTCGTACGTATGTACATAAGTTCAGGTTGCCATACCACATTAGCACAGAGACGCAAATGTTAAATAAAGCTCATAGTGATAAAGATAGTAGAAGTATTAATGGTAATGAAGAAGACTAGAGTTCAAAGATATTATTCAAGAAGTATAATTCAGTGAGATAAGGTTAGAAAGACAAAGGTAGAAGTGTTGACGAATCCAGAAGATTAGGATTTGAGAGAACACAAAGAGTGGATGCACTTGCGACATTGCAAACGATTTTGAGCCATGTCGTTCAAGGTCTCTAACCATTGGTGACTTTCGTCTCGCGACCCTAACCAGGTAGTCTACATCTACCAACATGACTCAGTCCACTTGTCAATGACTTCATGGATTTCTGCTATGTTTTGGTTTGGCCGCCCCTAGCTCTCTTCCAACCTACTCCTACACCACAAAACATAGCTCGTCGAGGCAGTCGGTGGTTAGCCATACGTAACACATGTCCCAACCACCTCAACTGGCAAAAGCCGATCGAGCTTTCTGTATCCGAGCTGAGATTTTGCCAGTCACTAGGCTATCAGCGCTGATGAGACTCCGCAGATAAGTGAAGCGGTCAACACGCTCGACTACTTCACCCCTATCACTAGTTCAGGTGCCGCTGCAACCCAGTCTTGAAGCAACATTTTGCATTTCGAAGACAGAATAGGTAGAATAATTTTGACTCATTAAATAATACTGAGAAGCAACTACACTAACAACAGATATAAAACTGATATTCTGCCTAGTATATCAGTCAGTGAGTCAATCACTTAATTATAAAATCCATGATATATTAGTTCAAGTTATCATACTTCACTCGACAAGATCTCAAGAGAAAACAAACTTTATTTATGGAAAGTGAAGCAGTGGCAGTACCGGTAATAATAAGAATAATAACTTTAATCCTAGAGAAATTAAGTTAGGAAGTGGTGATTATCCGTGAAAATGTGAAAATTCAGAAAAATAGTGAAATACTTAATATCGTCTTCCCATAATTCTAATTGGACATTAGACAAAGTGAATGCGAGGATCAGCATATACAGTAGACAACATTTGATGAGATGGGGCACTAGAAAAGACTGTAATTAGTGAAGTACTCAAATAAATGGAATTGGCCAATAAAAGTGGATATCTTTAGAGATAGATAACGTCACTATCATTTGAGTGTAGCCTTTACGAGAATCTGAGATTCTGTTCTTGCATTTTATTTCTAATTGTTTTTGGTAAATGTACTACTCGAATGCATATAATTTTTTGAACAAGGTCATTATAATACGTGATCACAGAAAAATTACTTTTGTCCCTCAGTGTGTGAAAGAGAATGAATAATACAAATGGCTGAAAACAGTTTTGCACTAATAAGCAGTCCGTCCACTTTAGCTCTGCAGAAAATGACCTTGATTTTTGGTTATATTAAATGACCTTAAAACCATCACATGCTCATTGTCATTCGTTTTTTGTTTTTGAGTGCAAAAATGATTGATAATTTATGCATATTTTAGTGACAGAGTTTTACGAACGTGCCCTAATGAGCTTTTATACACCACACATACCAGTATATTCTTTTGCATATGTAGTCAAACCGTCGAATATAGCTTGTGGCGGTTTATATGGTGATTCTTTTCTACAGCTCGTTTGCATACTCAATGGATGCGGTATATAATCAATGCTGTTAAAGGAAAAAAAAACATTTGCAATAAAGACGGTCAGTAAACAATGCGGAATGATAACATTTAAACAATCCTATCGATCAATGTCAATAGCATTGTTTTTCATCAACATTGAACTGATATTCCAATTAGCTGTTGTGTTTAGTTGGAATGATCAGTCACGTACGAGATTACTTAAACTCACTTATTTGATACTGGTGAAACATTCCTAAAAAATACACTTTGAGGGTGTTTTGTTTGATGAGTGAAGTCTTCAATTTCATTGAGAATGACAACACCAAAAACGAAATACTCCATGTAAAAGTGAGCATTTCGGTTTTTACGCATGGGGTTGATTCCGTTAGTATCCTTAGTTTTCGGCGTCTATTCGTGCATGCAATAGTGACTGTCGTTTTCTGTTGACACTAATAATAGTTTACATAACTCATTCATGAGTTTATACTATTCTAGAGTAGTAATAGTAGTAGTGGTAGTAGTGTGAGTAATAGTGTGAGTAGTAGTGTGGTGAGAGCTACTTATAAGTAATATATGACGTGAGTGTCAACGTAATGTCTGGCAGCAGAAGATGGGGGAAGATCAAGAAAGGAAGAGTTAGAACACAATGGAATTTGTATGAAACGTTTAAATAGTGACAATGGATTGATGTTTTGCAACAGGAACAGTCCAGTTCGATATGATGAACTGATATTTTGCAAATTGACGATTTACGATATGGTTTTCCAATTTTACTGAGTAACTCTGTGATTTTCGTTAAATACAATTCGGTTGCCCCACCTGTGTTCTCCGCCACTACAATAGTAGTATGACGATAATTAGTAGTGGTTATTTAACAGTTTCTCTTCGAAATCGTTCTTATTTTCACCGAATGATCCTATAGCAGTTGACATGATACTAGAAACGCTTTCGAACAAGTACTTAAGTTAAATAAGTCTGACTAGCTTTCAGCTGGACTGACATTTTGTTCAATGTCAATTAGAAATGTACAACCAAATTATCAATAATTTATTCACCAGTAGACACAAATCCTGCAAACAGCGTTCACATTAACGATTTCTTCAAATTTCAGAAACTATTTGCCGATGATATCTATCGCGCACTGGTTTCAGTTGGGAAACCTGTGAACAAAATGATTGGACCAGTGTTTAGCATAAGCGTCCAGCTTCCCACCGCTACACACATCTGACTCGGTCAGAGATCAAACACAGCACTTTCAAGTCATAACTTCTAACAAGAACATCAAGAACTCGTCTCGAATTTAGTTACGGAAATCGATCTGTGATGAATTCAACCGATTCGTTCGAAACGTCTACATACTATTCGGTAAGCTAATCAACAATGAGAGATTATAGTTAGATGTGAGTTGAATAAAAGAATGACTCTATCTAATATAGGCGGAATTTCATTTTACATTATATTTCGCATTCCATCCCACTGTAAATTCAAGACTGATTTAATGACATAAACTTGTAGAAATTAGCTGACTAATGTAAAATCTGGCTCTAAATTTTCTGTTAAACACCTATAAGTATTGATTCACATTCAATAATTATGTCTGACTCAATAAAATATACTTTTACTGCTAGAATAGACCGCTTGTCAGTTAGATATCAAGATAACTAACTTATCTACAGTCAAGAATATTACAACTATGCTAGCAAACATGTATAGCTTTAATAAGTAATTGTTTAAATTATTCAATAACTGTATCGACCATTTTTACATTTGTAATAATTAGATAATAGTATTATTGACTAATGTATGTTCCAGTGTGTATGCATGTGTGTATATACATGCTTACAAGATTATTTCGATAATTTTATCGATCATTTTTATATTTGTAATGATTAGATAACTGTATCGACTAATGTATATTTGAGTGAATGTATGTGCGTGAATGCTTACTAGCTTATATTACATGTCTAGCCGATTATTGTTGCCTGACTATAAATACATAGTCATTCTTCAATGAACTGAGTTGGCTCATTCGTCTTTTCAAGTTCACTTTGCTTCACTTTGCTTTGCTCCTACGCTTTTCATCCTCGTCTTTCTGCATTAAATGAAAGCACAAAGTGAATTCATCTGCTTCTTATTACCGCTTTCAAACAAACAGGGTATGTCAAAGTATAAATAACATACAGAAATGAAAAGGAAGATTTATCTCATCTTATACTCGATCATTTGTCCAAACTAGAGTCCAATTGCAGGCAACTAACTAAAATGGTGAGCTTGATGTCAAACTTAACTCAACCTGCAGAACTAAGTCGACAAAGAATCTCTCGAATTCAATGTATTCAATGAATGAATCAACGTATCAGACAACACGTACACAACAAAGACAGTTCAATGAGCGCATATCCATATACAAAAATCGTACTATCTTATCGTTATTCTGTTCATGTATCACCAACTCATCGAATTACTCTATTTCGTGAATTATCCCATTATCTTTAGTATTAATGTCATATTAATCGTTATCGTAATAACGTGGGAGAACTTTTATCTTTATACATACTGACATTAAATCATGACAATCATAGAATTATATTCTGAATCGATAATCTTCAGCAATGGGTTTATGACTATCACATGGCAGATATTCCCGACGTATTGAATAGCATCTTTCAACCTCCTAAGTAAATTGGTGATATGATGACACTTCCATGCTCAAAAACCATCAATTTTAAGTGGTCAAGCGAACCTGCTCACTGATAATAGCATGTTTTCAACTACCACCAAATGCTGTCAACGGTTAGCAACGCTATCTATCATAGACAAGTTTGAAATCACACTCAATGTTAGAGGACTTATGTTCTCAACATGCAACTAATGTTCATTTGTCATATTTGTACGCAGCAATCATTGTTCCACAGTTTTTTTACCGACGATGATCTCAACTGAGCTTCATTAATATAACCGCAAGTCCCTTGATTAATCAATGAGCCTTCTAACACGGTTTATGAACTTTGCACGACAACTGCAATTATTACTGTCTCACACTGCACTGCAGATCACAACAAAGAGGAGTTTAGATCTGGTCTTTCAAAGAAACACAGGTTCGTCATAATTCGAGTCAGTTTTATCGATCCGGCATACACAGTAGTATGTATTCATATCTTCTTCATGCCTTACTATGGTTTCTCTACAAACATGGAAGAGAGGAAGAAATAACTAATGTAACATTGTGATGAATTTGTATTAGATAATTTTCAGTAGTGTGCAGATATTGGAGTCATTCATGCGGAGGCTTAATAATCATCTCCTACAATGGAATTTAAATAGTTTACAATGAACGAAATACAAATCCTAACTCATGCATGTTTTCAGCTTTATTCAATATGGTGAAAATTGTTTCTGAATTCAGATCGATCAAATATAAACTATCTAACTATCATGTCAACGGGTTTGTTGATGAACTCACTCGTCATTCTGCGTTCAGATAGTGGACGGAATAGATTTTATATTGAATAGGTAAAATACTTAAGTCACATTAAATATCGACCATGGTGTAAGTAATCTCTGATGATGTCTGATAAGATTTCGTAGTTCGAGAGAATAAGGAATAGAAATCCGTGTTTGAATTAATACTGGAACTGTAAATCTAGATAGAATGAAATAGATTTCCAGTACTTTCTAGTTTGCAGCAATCGGTTTTAGTCGATCTGTAATACCGAAACCACAGAGATGGGAGATATTTGGGGATCACCAGTAATTTATAATAAGTTCAACTAATACGAACAGTCAAAATATTGTACTTACCGATGTGTAGTAGCCGATGCCATATGACCTTCACCTTGTACACCTTTGTGAGGTGGTTTACATGATTTCACTGGTGCAATAGGATGGGCAATAAACTGTGTAGTATATTCCGAAATCCCACATGGTTTTGTTATTTGCGTGCCAGGTCTTTGATGTGGACATTTATGTCGACTAAAAAATAGTGACCAAAGAAATAAAATGCATGCAATTATTAGGGCATTGAGAAGTAGTGAATGTTGCTCGTTCCATTTGAATTGGTTGTAACTCATAGTTCCAGTCACAGGCTCGTGTAAGAGAGGACAACTGGGCATGGAGTTAGCAACCACAAACTCACTTACTAAGACGCGCTGATGAGAAAAACCATTTCATCCATTCGAGATTCACCTCTGGAGTTGAACATTATTCATTTAAAATAATATTGATGACTCACCGTGAAAAATGAGACTACATGGAAGTCACGAGACTGAGAACCACTCTGACATCTAGAGCAACAGCATAGGCGCATGCAGTGTGGGAAACATGGAGAGCTATTCCAGTAGCAGCGGGAACCGAAAGACACAACCTGGCTTTGGTTGCAATAAGTGTAACCGACCAACATGACACAAGCTGAACCGAAAGAATAACTTCAGGAGAGATGATGACGTATACTCATCAGCAAGAAGAAAATCCCTTACACATACAAACAGTTGCGTTGGTGCTCTCCAACAAAGTCAAAATAATGCTTGTAGTATGGGAAAACAACGGTTATGGGATCATCTAAACATCCTTCAAAACAAACGACATAGAACACTTACTAAAGTTCAGTGAACAAACTTCCTTCGAGATTCTCACAACTCAGCAAATTCACGAAGTCTCTCAACAACAAGGTTCAGACCCTAGAAGATCGACTGGAAGAAGAAGAAACCACTATGGAGAATAACTGAGAAGGAACTAAAGAAGCATTAACTTCAACACCACAGAGAGTGCTGGGCCACAAAAAGTCTCTGCATACAGAGTGACTCCCTGTTGATATCCTGTGCAAGATTCATTATAATAAAACAAACAAGAAGATCAATCTATTGATTGACTTGCATTCCCCTCCTAAAAGGCATGTACGATAGTGATCAAATATTCATTCGAGGAGTGCACAGTCGTACGGTTCATATAACCATCTTCACAAAACCGAGTAAACTAATAAATGCACAATCCGGGTTTTTCAAACAGGAATTTCGTTTTCGAAACTCTCACATTAAGTACTTATTGAAGAAAACAATTCGGCGCGCTCCACTGAAAAAGAGGTTCTAATAGCTTCTTCTTCAATATCCCGTTTTCATACATGGTTCATTAACAAAACTTCATTTGAAACTATAAGGCTATTTCTGAATCTTGGTTCAAGGTTGCTGGACTGTTTATAATCCAAGCTTGTAGACGTTTGATTACTTTTTAATAAATAAACTTGTCAAATGATGTCATTCTTCTCTGTTGGAACCACTGCTAGGATAAGACCCTATGCATGATCATATTTTGACTTAGTGTAATCCTTTCGTGATATCTGTTCAGTGTAAATATTTCCAGACTAATTTAGTATGCATTTTATTCACCATATCAGAAAGCACTGTAATGATATCGATTCTATGTATACTCCATTAGTGAAGGTTTTAAATTTCAGTTATATGTTATATTCTATGACCGATTATTAATTCTCAATAAAATCTGTTCTTCCATTAATCCATATGTTAACAAGTCATCATGGCGTTTCTAGTAGGCACATAGGACCTACATTTGCCTTCAGCTGTTTCTTTCCTATTTCAAGTACCAGTTTTCTGCGGTTTTTAACATAAACTATAGTCGGTGCACATGTATAGCCAACAACTGAGTCGCTTGTATGTTTTTTTTATCAAGACGTTTTAATGTAACAAATTAATCCATATATAGCCAATTTAAACAACAATCTACAATCCTAATTCAATGTTCCAATGAAGCCAAAACCATGACATCAATTAATGAGAAAAATTAAAGAGCTAAACTGATTTTCAAAAAAAACACAACATAGTTTGATGTGAAATAGCACTTATTGATTTACTCCAAAAATCTAATCAATATATTACCTAAAAGTGCTTACTAGTTAGTGATATATAGTACATTCAGTTAACTGTCAAAAATTTCCTACTGATGTTTCAAACATAGGAATTCACCTATTATTATTATTATTATTATTATTAATATTATTATTATTATTATTATTATTAAGGACAGTTTATGTTTAAGGACAATTAAGAAATTATATTTCAAGAAAGTATTTCACTAGTTTATATGTTTATTGCATTTTCAAAGTAAATAGAATCTACTGAGAAGTTTATGAAAAAGGGTTTTATTTTGATTGAAAACGTTCAAATAACCGCTAGAATTTTCATCAATGATTAAAACAGTCTCATCAGATGTTGTACTCACTAAGATATATCTATTAATGACCTCAAACAATTTATTTTCGGGCAGAGTTTCGGAGGTTTTGTGTTTTTACACATTTGAAATCATCAATCAATCATTGTTAGACCACCATTAGAAATCTAGAAGCACTGGACTGCCGTTTCATCCAAAACTCTGCTCGAAAATATCGTAACAGTGCTTGCTCACTAGTGACTAGCTTCGTGAAGAAATTCTCGGAGTTCTAGGTGAGAAGACGTGACCAATAGAGTTTAACCCTGTCAGGTATAAGCAGTAACTACCAAAGACAAATGGGTGAGGTCGCGCAAAATCCGTAGATCAGTCAGAGTTAGACATTAACACCGTTGGATGCCGGCCCGGTGGTCCGGTGGTTAGGCGTTCACGCACAATACCGAAGGTTCCGGGTTCGAATCATGTGAGGTGCAGGAGTCGTGAATGCGCACTGCCACTGATGAGCCCCATGCCGGGACGAAACGGCCGTCCAGTGCTTCCAGGTTTCTAATGTTGGTCAAACAATGATTGATTGATGATTTCAAATGTGTAAATAGAATCTACTGAGAAGTTTATGAAAAAGGGTTGGTTTGATTAAAAACATTCGAATAACTAGTAGGATTCACATCATTGATTAAAACAGTCTCATCAGATGTTGTACTCACCAAGATATATCTAGTAACGACCTTAAACAATTTATTTTCGGGCAGAGTTTTTTGAGGTTTTGTGTTCTTACACATTTGAAATCATCAATCAATTATTGTTTGACCAACATTAGAAACCTGGAGGCACTGGACGGCCGTTTCGTCCCGGCATGGGACTCATCAGTGGCAGTGCGTATCCACGACTCCTGCACCTCACAGGATTTGAACCCAGGACCTTCGGTATTGTGCGCGAACGCCTAACCATCTCTGTAAATCACTTAGAATGTTGATAAAAATAGATTGACGAAGACAACGAAATTTTAAAAATAGCTTGTACATATAAAACTGTATCAGCTGGAAGTGACTAGTACATTTGGTATGGCCCACTCACCACTCTACTGTTTACCAGGATGCGCAATACTTGGATTCACAGAAGCACTTAGACTAGGTAGAGAAAGTGTATTATCTTCAAACCAGCCTCTAGTTACAAGCATCATATAATACTTGTGAAAATTCATCTGTACAATGGTATCAGGAGATTCAATTCCAAACATTCTACTATCCAGTTACTATTCATTCCGTGTGACGGAGATAGCAATCTCAATTGGTAATCAAGCCAAAACAGATACACAATGTAAAAGCATGAAAATAGTGACTATGGGTCAGAATTAATTTCGGAAAATGTACAATATGACAGATGACAATGGATGATAGTTATGGAATATTGTGAACTGACTGAAGTTGAAAATCAGAATTATTACATGGCTAACTAATTTGCTTTCGCTTTAAAGCACATTGAAAGACAGGCCTGGAAATGTTAGGTTTCAATACAATGGTAGGGTCGTAGTCCCTCGAACTGCTGATGCATTTCATACTGGATTGAACGAGCTTTCCAGTGACACCTAGTTTACAATGATCATTTATCTAGACTTAACTCATGATGTAAACTACAAAAGAGATAAAGTGTTTACTTTAAGACAAAACAAAATGATTATTATTATTATTTCTACCATTTTGACACGAACTCAACAAAATTTATTTGAATAACGCAAAGAATTTAGTGCTATGGTTCCTCGTGTGATTATAAATAGGAAGCCCTTCTCAATTTATTTGTACACCTGAAAAAAGCTTATCGTATTTTTACGGCCGAGCTGAAGGCTTGGCAATGGGGTTAGCGACCCAGGCCCTTAGAAAACTGACTCGCTAACCAGAAAATATAATTAAAACTGTTTAAACTCTGACGTGGAAGTTGGAAGGTCTTCATTTATTTCAGTCAGTCATTTACAGCGTAGAACTTCGTACGTACGTATATAGCAGTTCAGGTCGCCATAACACATTAGCACAGAGACCCGATTGTCACTTCAAATCTCATAGTAGATGTAGTAGAAGTATTAGCAGTAGTCGGAGAGACTAGGGTCTGACGATATAATTCAAGAAGCAGAATGTTAGGATTTGAAACTTTATTTAGGAGAGTTACGTCTCATGATGAAAGTCTAATTTCTTTGTAATTCACGAGACTGACGCCCCTCCTTACAACCCAATCAACTCCAAATATGAGTACATGGAATGTCCGTACATGGTGAGAGACCGGAAGTTCAAAATGAATGTCATCCAGTGCTATAACGATAACAGTGAGGACGTTAGAGATCGATTCTACGAGAGGCTGCAGTCAATGGTTGAGAAATGCGAAGCACAGGACTTGGCTATTCTGATGGGAGATCTAAACACGCCAAATTTGAAATGGACAACGCCGGATATGAAGTCATCATGGGACGAAATGAATAGGGAGAAAGAAATCAAAACTATGGTAGATTCGCAAGTTTATATGCCTTCAACGAAATGGTTATAAGCGGCATCATATTCCCATATAAACGCACACACTCAACGATATGGGTTTCACCCGGCCACATTATACAGCAGCAAATCGATCACATGTGCACCAATAAAAGGTTCGAGCGGATAATGGAGGACGTGCGATCCAAGAGAGAATTTAACTTAGCTTCAGATGATTACTTGGTGATAACCAAAATGAAACTAAGACTGAAGAAGTACTGAACAACGAGGAGGGCAGTATCACAAAAGTTCGATGCCTTCTTAGGGATACTGGCAAAC